CCCAAACACAGAGTAAAAGCATGTAAGAGTCACCGCGCGGGACCGGAGCTGGTTGGCAGCGCAAACGGCCAACACAGTGGCTGCCATCTGGTTGTGCAACACACCCCCCTCCCCTGACCCGAAAGTACCGCGAAAAATTAAAACCCAAACGCGTAACCGCAGTCTCGATGTAAAACAAAAACTCGAGCTAGGCTCTCAGGCCGTCACACGCGCACACAGACACAACAGTGCAAACGGCATGGCCAACACAGTCGCTTCCATCTGGTTGTGCAACACACTCCCCTCCCCTGACCCGAAAGTACCGCGAAAAATGAAACCCAAACGCGTAACTGCAGTCTCGATGTAACACAAAAACTCGAGCTAGGCTCTGAGGCCGTCACACACGCACACAGACACACAGAGCTGGTTGGCAGCGCAAACGGCATGGCCAACACAGTGACTTCCATCTGGTTGTGCAACACACTCCCCTCCCCTGACCCGAAAGTACCGTGACAAACACACACACACAGACACACACGCACACACACACACAGGCACACACACACACACACTCTCTCGCTCATGCAGCCGCAAGAGAGGCGCGCAGACACGCTGCAGGCGGTCCAGGCGGGATTCGCGCCCATCCCATCCCCCCCCCCCTCCACCTTTCGACCCAATCCTCTCAGCAGAGCTGAGGTAAACAAAAACTCCAGCTTAGCTCCAAGGAGCTAGCTTTCGTGATTGAACACCTACACCTGAAGGGTAGAACCTGGGCTTGGTTGCATCTGACTTTGATGAACCTCAGAGACCGTGACCAGTAGAAGGAAAGGGGGTTCCTGATTATAGCGTATACAATAAAATACATTGAAGTCGGAATTACAATCCCTTGAAGGTAGAATGCCATGACGATGAAAACTTGCATTTGGAGTTTGCAGTGCCCAATGATCCAGGACCAGAAAGGCTTCCTTCTTTGGACTTGGATTTGATTTGACGCTTTGAGGGGTCCCGCACCCCACATTTCTTTTGAGGTGTCATGGTAAATTTTACAGGGGAGTACAAGAATTACAACCCATAGGCCCATAGGGTAAGTTTCTTCAGCATACGTGATGGAACTTCTTCGTTTGGTTTTGCACCCCCCCCCGCCTGAAACCAACCCCCCCCCCCTTTCCACACCTCTAAAATTGGTCCATGTTGGCCTTTGGGAGGGGGGGATTTGGCGGCTGTAAATACGGGGCGAAAAAAATAACATCCTTAAACCAAGAGCCTTGGACCTGGAACTGTCAAAATCAGTTGCTGATGCACCCCATCAGTTGCCCCATGAGGCGACCATTCCAACATCGATACTGACAAAGACAGGCCATTATGAGGGTACGATGAAGCATAAGGGGGCGGCTACCAAAACAAAACAATAGCGTATCCGTAAGATGTGCAAGTAGCCCGGGACATAGCCCCAAATTTGGAAATTGCGAAGGTTGGTTCTAAGGGGAAACCAAGAGGCAAAAGCCATCCTCAAAAAAGACACACAAAGCATACCCGAGTTCTACATGGGTGAGAACCTTTGGTGGACATCATTTAGGTGGGGATTCATGTCCACTAATCAATTTTGAGGTGATCCCTATTAAGATTCATAGCCACAGCGGCTTGCTTCCATTCCGATTCCAAGGGGCGCATCTCCCAAGTCTGAGCGGTCGATGTGCACGCGGCCGCGGGCCTCAAGGAATGCAATGACAGAACTTCACGTTGGTTTCCGGGCTGAAAGGTCAACGAGTCTGGTGATATCATTCTGCCTGGAGTCTCCTTCTGACCCTTCTGGCCTCATTATTTCACCATGATCAAAGTCACCCGTAAGAGGTGGGTTAAAGGGAAACAGGCCTATTTTCTGACTTGATAATTCCAGAAACAGTGAAACAATGACCTCTGCCCTTTAAACACTGCTCCATTACCCCTTTATTTTGGGTAATGACCAACCATTTTTAAAGGGTCATGGAGACTCTAGGCGTATCTAATTCTACACGGGCTGGCCTGGTAATTATATGTTATATAAAAATCATTTAGGGGGCTGGCAACAGGGGCACATGGGTTGCAACTGCGGATCCATGACATAAGAGATGACCGACCTTGAATGGGGGCAGGGCTCATTTCATGTTGGGCCAGTGAAGTCGCGCCACAGGGAAACAGGGGCACCTTTGTCTTAGTTGAACCTGCAACAAAAACATGCTTGCAAGGGCACTGGAGGTTACGGAAGGGCACAACATTGGCAAAGGTTATACTAAATGCCAGTGCCCTTTCTCAAACGGTGTTGAATTTTGATAGGGAACCACCGAACCCAGGTGCTTGGTGGACACAACAATCTCCACCTAAATGATGTCCACCAGTGCGTCCCTTACGAAAAACCCACACCTTCCATTCGCCTAAGCCCCCCGAAGAAAAGGAAGAAGAAACCCAGCAATTTGAAATCGATTCCGCTTCCCTTTTAAAACCAACCGGTTTAGGAATATTCCTAAGCACATGGAAGACTCCCAAATGGCCCTTTTGGGGACTCAGGATCTCACATCCTTCTGCGAGCGCCATTGTTCGAGGCCCGCACGGCAGGAACCTTGAGCTTCCCGGACTTGGCCTCCAGCGGTTGGCGCGGTTGGCCCGTGGGCCCGGTGGCCATGTGACTGGCAGAAACGGGAAAAGTCTTCGCGTTTGATGTTTTTTGGGGGGGCGCGCATGTGATGTGTGTGTCTGTGTTTGCCCTCTTGCCTTCTTGCTAATTCCACCAGGACCAGGGGGTAACACCCCCCCCCAAACATACATAGTAATTGCATGTGTATATGTATGTATATATATATATATATACATACACATATATGGTTTGCAATGTGTATACACATTACATATGTATCTGCTTATCATTGGTACATGTCAATATTGGCCTCACTCCAGTGTTTCTGAACTGGCCTACAGGCGATAAGGTTTCTCCCATTCAATCCCCGGGCAAAGAGTTGACCCCTGAAACACAAGAAGCAGAAAACCACGCCGCACGGTTCTTGGCTGACCGTTGTTCTGGACCGTTTGATGGATTCCGCAGCTCCTCCGCTGCCAATCTTGGAGCCTTGTGGATTGCTGAGGCTAGCAATCCTGCTTCTAGGAACTCCCAAGATTTCCACCCCAGTTTATGCACTTGCAGGTATTTGGGAAAAGGCTCATTCCACCAACAACCCAATGCAACCGAATTTAACCCAATCCAATTTAAGCCAAGTTAACCAAGCCAACCCACCCACCGACCCACCCACCGGCCCACCCACCCCAACCCACCCCAATCCACTCCACCCACCCGCCAACCGACTGCTCAGCCGCCTCGGGGAGCTGCTTGGCCTCCTCCGCCAGCTGCGCGGAGTCCGTGGCCAGGAGCCACGTCGCTGCGCCTGGCCGTGTCTGGAGTCTCCTTCTGACCCGAAATAAAAACAGTCCATGACCAACTATCGATGTTTACCCGCTAACGCCCCCTCTCACCCACTACACCTTGCTTCCGCCAAACCTTCCGCCAGACCTATGTCAATTGGACATTGTGGGCATATACAGAGGATGATGTCCTCTGTTGGATGTCCATGACCTATGTCAGTTGGATGTCAGTTGGATTTACTGGGCTGTGCGTCAGATCCGCTGAAAGTGACGAACTTTTAGTGGGTGAATGGAAATCCACACGAAACACGAAAAGGCTAAAGCAAGGGGGATGGCTGGGAACCACCAAGTTTAGGGTAATGACCAACCACTTATTCAGGGTCAGAAGGAGACTCCAGGAGGATTTCCAACCTACTCTTGCTCGCACGGAGAAGAAGGACAGAGGTGTTGTTTGCAAGCCTCTGCCGAGAAGAAAGCGAACCCACAAAGATAAAATTACAACTGGGGTATCTATATTTATGTCCCTTCAACATCCAACAGAGGACATTATGTCAATTGGACCAACTGATGTGTAAAAACCACCAAAAGCGAGAAATCCATCAAGACGGGTAATCCCGGGGTGACTGAAATGGTCCATGCAAGCCTGGAAGAGGATTTTTTTGGGGGTTTCAGGCCATCTCAAACCCTACAAGAACAATTCAGGGTTCCCAGCCCATAAAAGTCACCGAGGGAATCTTGAAGCATGAATCCCCAAAATGAATGGTCTCCTTTTCTTGCTGGTGCTCAGCAGGGAATGAGGGAATGAACCTGAGGAGTCCCTTAAAGGAAACTATGGGGGATGGTTTGTAGGGGTCATTCCATGTCTCACTCCCTGCTGAGCACCGGCAAGTCTTTGGGACGTCCGACCAAAACGCGAGCCAACCCTCCCAACACATGAACCCTCCGCGATGCGCCTACGTCCTCCTCGGCTCTTCTGGCGCAGTCCAAAAAGACCTGCCAGAACCAACGCCCAGCGGAGCGAAGGCATCTGCTGATCAGTTGCCAGTTGGAAACCCCCCATGGCCCAAGAGGTGACTTGCTCCAATCTAGGCAGTTGTTGTTGACAACTATCCAGCTGCCACTCCTCCAGCCTTGGGACTCAACTCGCCCATTTCCCTAGACCTTTCCCGGGGTCGCCCTGATTGAACCAGTTGGCTATGATGTTTAAAAGTTTAATGAGGAACCTTGGCTTACACAAGTCATGTCCACCTAGGAGTGGACCCTTTCAAATTCACAGCCAATTTAAGACTCCAACAAGGACTTAAGGCATTTGGAGGAAACCTGAAGTAGCGGGGTTGGAGAACAGCGGGGTGAATCGCATGGTCCAACTTAAAACAAAATCCCCCGAAAAGGTGACGTGTCAAAACCATCGAATGCGGAAATGTATACAGAACCCTGCAATTCTGTGTGGTAAATTGCAGGCCAAGGGAAGCCACATACTGTCACATACTGGACATTTGCCCAACATTTGAAGGGCCAATGTTGTGACACATCACCTGCGGACACAAGAACAGGCAATCTATGAGAAATAGGTCATTTTGCGGTTGCCTACCTTGCAAAGTCGGTCGCCCGCAGCAAGCAAGGCCACTTTTTGGTCCTAAGCACTAAGCATGCAGATTCAGCACAACCTCCTCGCTTTCAGAAAGTTGGACATGCACATCGTCCCCCTCTCGGTGTTCGCTTGGCGGCCGAGTTGGGGTGTAGCCCTTGTCAAGCGAAGCCTTCCTGAGGTGCACAGGGGTCCCCATGTTTCCCAACATGAGAGACGAACTAGAAACTAGCAGGTTGCTCCTACGAGCATGTCTGAATTTGAATTAAACTTCAACATATTTGAAGCGTATCCAATTCTGATCTAGTCATTTAGGCCCTTTGGGTCACCTTGAAGGTTTCACTTGTGGTTTGCTGGGATTCAACACTGTGGAGGTTAACTGATGGAATTTCAGGAACGGCCATTCGCCCCCTGTGAAGGGGTGCAGGGCTCAACATATTCTTCAGGGCTCAAAAAACCTTGATAAGAAGTGCCAAGCCGTAAAGTTTGTGAGCAGCAGATCTAACCTTTCGTAGGTTTAATGGAAAAGCCGTTTGTTTCCAAAAGGTCTAAGGCCCACAGGACGCGTCCGCTGCGCACGTAACACCCACAGACTCCAAAAGGTCTCTCCGGTGGTTTCCAGGGGTCACGCCAAAACCTCCAACCAGCCAAGTCACAAGGTTTCCGATGGCAAAGAAGCTAGAGACCTCTCTTACCAAGGCCCTCCACAGGCTGTCTACATTTTGGCGTTTGGTTTTTTCTTCTTTTTCCGAACCACCCTGCAAGTCAAAACATACGCATAGAGGTCCACAATACAACTTGCAAAAATAAAAAAAACAACCGCTGAAATGGACATTTGCCGCACCAACAACAAAAGAGAACGTGTGTTGTTACTTTTGACACGGAAGTTTACTTCAGGCTTCCTGAAGCCTTGCTGATTCTTCACGAGTTTTGGCCCGAAGAGCTGTTTTTACGCCAACCCGGCTCAAAAAGCCGTCAGATTCTCCAACTCGAAAAGGGTAAACCCACCTCCAAACCAGCAAGCCCGCGATGCGGGATAGAACCACCAGCACAAGCCATGGATAAGAGGTATGCTTATATATATATATATATCCCTGTTTCTGCCTCAGCTCTTTTTGCCCCCAGAACCTACAATGTCTGAGGATTCCAGAACATTAGGGGAAACGTCCATTCTTCAAACACGAGGACCTCTCCACACTTTGAGTTTTCCAAGACTGGTCGGTAAATACCAACACACGTTGTGGTTTCAGCCATGGTTTCAAAGTGGGTTTTGTCCATGCACGGTAGGAAGCGCTGTCTTTGGTTGAAGGGCATAAAACTAATCTAAACCAGTGGAACCCATCTATTTCTAACCAACCTAGCCTAACAAGGACACCTATACACATTTCATGAGTTCGACTGAGGGACCCAAACTGGTGGACATCAATATTCAGGGGATTCGGGCAACCACCTCCAAAAAAGACGAGCCACCCATATGAAGATAGCCTTCCATTTGCTCAATAGCCCCCCTCGGAAATCGATTTTCCTTTATATCCAACAAGGGGAAATCAATCTTGGTTTCTGTTGACCCCTCTGCAATAAGTTCTTAACTTTTTGTGGGTTTAGCGGGCAACCCCTTGATTTCCCCAAATCTCAAAGTCCAAAGATCCAACCCAATAGCAGTCAAGAAAGCACATCCTTCAGCAAATGGAAGAGGCTCTGTCTCAGATGCGTTTTCAGCCGACGCTCGGCCAAGGCGCTTTGGCTCCAGGGGATGCCTCAGCGGTCGCACGCCCGGCACCGCGCGGGGCTCCGGCGTGGGGCGAGAGGGGCGCCGTGCCCCCGCCGCCGCCGTAGTCGCCGCCGCCGTACTCGCCGGTTCGGGGGCTTCGGGCGCCGCCTCCGGATGCTGACCCCGGATCACAAGCATTGGTTCAGCAACATGCGTTGAAACCATGGGAAACCATCATTTGTGGGCATTTACAGGGGAATTATTATTTTTGGGTTTCTTGGGGCACGATTTCTTCCATCCACAGTAGTTTGCAACCCAGCAAGGAATCATATGAGCAGCGCTCTTGAGAAGCCGTGGCCTGATGCATTGCCACATCTCAAATTGTTCAATAGAAGGATCGCTCGATAGAACCCCAAGGGAGCTCGTTAATAGGCAGCTCAAGACGTGGTCCGAATGCCCACCGGAGCCCTGATCAAAATCTACTTGCAGTCGGGCTTCCCATTGCGAGCTCACGAAAGTCCTCGGATTCCTCATTTCTAGTTTCTGAAGTATTCGCGAACTCATTAGTATAAAATCCAAGGGAACCACCCTGTAAAAACAACAATGAAGATGGCAAAGGTGGTAACTGGGATCGGGAAAGGTGTTTGGTTCAGATTGCTCTGGCGGCGTACACATCATCTCTGGAGAAATCATGATAATTTCTACTTCGTACCTCGAATTATTAGAACAAGAACCTCGCAAAATTAAGGGTCCACCTCGCACCTCGTATTTCGGGGCCTTCCTTGCCTCTAAAAAAAGGGTGTAAAAATCGAGCCAGGTGTATTGTTGCAACCGTTTTTCAACCGTGTGTGTTTTCAAGCTTGTTAGGGGCAATTACGCAGCTGGTTTTTGACAACTTGATGCCAGTCTTAATCAGAGACAAGGAAGGACCGGATTTGCTCAAACGTGTGTGTAGTTTCAAGCTCTTCAAGGCCAACTTGATGCCAGTCTTAATGAGACACAGGGAATGGCCGGAGTTTCTCAAACGTGTGTGATTCCAACCTTTTCAAGGCAAATTAAGCAGAAGCGGCTGGTTTTTGAGAACCTGATGCCTGTCTTAATGGGAGACAAAAAGAGCCGGAACTTCTCAAACGTGTGTGTGTTCAAGCTTTTCAAGGCCAATTAAGCAGAAACGGCTGGTTTTTGACAACTTGATGCCAAGAACCTGATGCCAGTCTAACGAGAGACAGAGAAGGGCCGGATTTTCTCACACGTGTGTATTTTTAAGCGTTTGAAAGCCAATAAAGCAGAAACGGCTGGTTTTTGAGGACTTGATGCTAGTCTTCATGAGACACGGGAAGGGCCGGATTTTCTCAAACATGTGTTTTCAAGTTGTTGGTTTCTGCTTTTTGTTTTCCTCGGGGGTCGGATTCTCGAACACCTGGCCACACTTGGCGTGGTTGACATCGAAGATGAAGCCCCCGGTGCGTCGAATAACACCCAAGAGATTTGAGAAATCCTTATTTCGGAAACCACCTCGTAATTCGGGGTCTGGGGCCCGCCTTAGGCCAGTGAGCTCGCTAAAATTTGTCTAGGAATCATCTGCTTCTTGCGGGTTGCCGAAGGGAGATGGGGCTGTTGAAGTCGAAAGGCCCAGCCAATTATCCTCCCTCCAACAATCATGGCAGCTGACACGGGGTTCCTTGGTTGATGTTGACCCCTCTGCAAACAGTGAATCACATTTTGTGGGTATGGAAAGTCCTGTTTCAACCAAAAAGCTAAAAGTCCAGTTGTCAAAAAGCCATAAAGGTTCAGAAGACTACTGTCCTTTTGGGGATCCGCCCCGATATCCCCTTCCAGCCAGCCAAGCTCCAGAGTCTCTTCGGCCTATTCTTTACCCCCCAAGGAGCAAGTGTTCAATGTTTGATTCGTGGGACAACACGAGTGCGCGAGACCCAAAAGGCAAAGGCTAAAGATTCAAATAATACCGTGGGACAAATCCACTTCGCCACCGTGGATAGGTGGTTTATCGACCAGGATTCATAGGGTTACATCCCAAGCTGGTGCGAAGCATTGCGAAGCGGATTTTGTGCATCCGCAGCCCCTCACTTTGGCCCCAAACAAAAACAGCTTTCCAGGACCTTAGCCGAAGGACCTTGACAGTCCGGCTCCTACTTCGCAAACACCTGAGTTTGCTTCCCACCGTCACATGCGTTTCTCAGTGGAAAAGCCCCCCTTTTGATAGGTGTTTGAAGGGAAGCCATGAGGAAACCCTTGCAGAAACATGGGACGGCGGTTCGATCCGAGGCTCCAATTGCTAAAGAATTGCCAAAGCCACGGGTCACGCCGATTTGCCATCGCTCTTGCTTCCAAACAACGCCGACTGGAGCCCCTACTTTTCAGGAACTCGTCCACGACGTCTCTGGACTTCCCCTTCAAAAGTTGCCAATTTGCTCGTGGCGTCCACTGAAACTGCCACTGTTGGTGGTTCCAAAAGGAAAATATACCGGAACAGGTCCTTTTGACCCCCCACTGCATTACTAAGGGGGTGGGGATATTTCAAACTATGATTCACTTCCTCAGCATGAATATATATATATATATACATATATACAGAAACCTGCATGCAGAGTATATTTACCCTTAAAAAATGGTCTTCCCAAGAAATAGCTCCAGGAACTCAGGCCAACGAGACTTTCCGGGCCCATGCGTGACCCAGCCTGAGGGGCTTTCTTCGCATCGCAGGTGGCGTCAGGCAGGAGCGGGTGACGCGCGGGCCGGACAGCGGGAAGAACATGAGGCTGGGCCTCCTGTGAATGCCTTGATTGCCGACAATCGATTTGATCGCTGCAAGTGGATAGCGAGCATGGCAACCCAAACAGGCTACTGGACCTAAGTAGTTAGTCGGTAACCCCGGGCGACACGTCATTGTTGAGGTAGCCCATTTTGGGGTGTCTTTAAGCAGAACCCAAACGGAAGCAACCCTGTGAGTGTCCTCAATTTTGCAGACCAACCCAGATCCCATGTAAGTGATCAATTTGCTGATTGTGGTCGGAATGTGGCAAGTAAGTCTGGCTGCAACTGATCCAAACACCCTTGGTACTAGTCCACTCTGGTGAAATTCACAGTCACTAACCACTGAAAGTTTGATCAGCGGTCATAAAGACACACAAAGGATAGGTGCCACATAGCCCAAGGCTCCAAGTGAAGCCACAAACAAACTAAAGAAAATGGTGTTGCCCTGTGTTGAGTGATGTTAAAGGGAAAGCAAAGGGAAAACCTCACTACCCACATTGCAAAGACAAACAATGATACTCGACAACTAGGATGCTGCTCCACCGATGGTTCATCAAATGGAACTTCTGCTGAAGCATGCATGGCTTTGCCCAGCTCATCTGCCGGCTCATCTAAGGGCTCCAAAGAAGGCTCTAACGGCTGCTGCGCTGGCGTCTCCGGAGCCTCCGCTGCATCTTCAGCTGAAGCAGGGACAGCCTCCTCCTGCTCAGCTGCCGTCTCATCCAAGCGCTCCAGAGACGGCTCTAACAGCTGCGCTGGCGTGCCCGGAGCCTCCGCAGCATCTTCGGCTAAATCATGGACAGCCTCCTCCTGCTCAGCTGCCGGCTTATCCAGGGGCTCCAAAGAAGGCGCTAACGGATGTGCTGGCGTCTCTGGAGCCTCCGCAGCATCTTCAGCTAAAGCACAGACAGCCTCCTCCTGCTCAGTAGTCGGCTCATCCAAGGGCTCCAAAGAAGGCTCCAACGGCTGCGCTGGCGTCTCCGGAGCCTCCGCAGCATCTTCTGCTGAAGCATGGACAGCCTCCTCCTGCTCATCCAAGGGCTCCAAAGAAGGCTCTAACGGCTGCTGCGTTGGCGTCTCTGCAGCCTCCGCAGCATCTTCAGCTAAGGCATGGACGGCCTCCTCCTGCTCAGTAGTCGGCTCATCCAAGGGCTCCAAAGAAGGCTCTAACGGCTGCGCTGGCGTCTCCGGAGCCTCCGCAGCATCTTCTGCTGAAGCATGCACAGCCTCCTCCTGCTCATCCAAGGGCTCCAAAGAAGGCTCTAACGGCTGCTGCGTTGGCGTCTCCGGAGCCTCCGCTGCATCTTCAGCTAAAGCATGGACAGCCTCCTCCTGCTCAGTAGTCGGCTCATCCAAGGGCTCCAGAGAAGGCTCTAACGGATGCTGCGCTGGCGTCTCCGGAGCCTCTGCAGCATCTTCTGCTGAAGCATGGACAGCCTCCTCCTGTTCCGCTGCCGGCTCATCCAAGGGCTCCAAACAAGGCTCTAGCGGCTGCTGCGCTGGCGTCTCCGGAGCCTCTGCAGAATCTTCAGCTGAAGCATGGACAGCCTCCTCCTGCTCAGCTGCCGGCTCATTCAAGGGCTCCAAAGAAGGCTCTAACGGCTGCTGCGCTGGCGTCTGCGGAGCCTCGGCTGAACCTTCAGCTGAAGCATGGACAGCCTCTTCCTGCTCAGCACTCGGCTCATCCAAGGGCTCTAACGGCTGCGCTGGCGTTATTGGAACCTCCGCAGAATCTTCTGCCGAAGCCTGCTCAAATGCCGGCTCATCCGAGGGCTGCGCTGGCGTCTCCGGAGCCTCCGCAGCATCTTCTGCTGAAGCATGGACAGCCTCCTCCTGCTCAGCTGCCGGCTCGTCCAACGGCTCCAAAGAAGGCTCTAACGGCTGCTGCGTTGGCGTCTCCGGAGCCTCCGCTGCGTCTTCAGCTGAAGCATGGACAGGCTCCAAACAAGGCTCTAACGGCTGCTGCGCTGGCGTCTCCGGAGCCTCTGCAGCATCTTCAGCTGAAGCATGGACAGCCTCCTCCTGCTCAGCTGCCGGCTCATCCAAGGGCTCCAAAGAAGGCTCTAACGGCTGCTGCGCTGGCGTCTCCGGAGCCTTCGCAGCATCTTCCGCTGAAGAGTGCAAAGTCTCCTCCTCTGCCGGCTCATCCAAAGGTTCTAAGAGCGGCTCTAACGGCTGCGCTGGCGTCTCCGGAGCCTGGGCAGCATCTTCTGCTGAAGCATGGACAGCCTCCTCCTGCTCAGCTGCCGGCTCATCCGAGGGCTGCGCTGGCGTCTCCGGAGCCTCCGCAGCATCTTCAGCTGAAGCATGGACAGCCTCCTCCTGTTCAGCTGCCGGCTCATCCAAGGGCTCCAAAGAAGGCTCTAACGGCTGCTGCGCTGGCGTCTCCGGAGCCTCCGCAGCATCTTCCGCTGAAGAGTGCAAAGTCTCCTCCTCTGCCGGCTCATCCAAAGGTTCTAAGAGCGGCTCTAACGGCTGTTCCGCCGGAGTCACTGGGTCTTCCAGTAAATCCGAGGTTTGGTGAACGCTGGTAGAGGGCAACTCCATGTCCGACTCCAGCCATCGAGACTTCCACTTTGAGGAGCTCTTGGGTTCCTTCAGGGTGCAACCGCTGCTACCAACTCCATTTGCCATTGCTCCCTCCAGGTTCCTAAAGAAAGAGGGGGCTGGGGTTCAGGTTCCCTTTTTTGAGAGTGGTCGACAGGCGATCTTCAGGGCATCCGTAGTGTCGGCGGGAACAATCGGCTCATTTCCCGAACGGCTGAAGTCCACTGGCCCAAATACCCTCCCTCCAAGAATCATGGAAGCTGACAGGGAGTGCTGAAGACTACCGTCCAATTGGGGGAGCCGCCTATCCACCGCTGTTGTTGGCAAAAGCAAGCGCCGGGTGGTCTGGCCCGATCTCCTTGCTGGGCTTCGGCGGCTTTCCTCCCGACCGAGGCTTCTCGCAGTCCAGAACTTCTGCGCCATTCGAAGCAGTCGGCCGCGGGGGGGTGGAGTCCAGACCCAGGGGGATGTCCAGACTCACCTATCCCGAAATCACCAAGTAGCCCTCGCGCTCCAGCTTTCGCTCTCTCTGTCTCTCTCTCTCGCTCTCTCTGTCTCTCTCTGTCTCTGTCTCTGTCTCTGTCCCTGTCTCTGTCCCTGTCTCTGTCTCTGTCTCTGTCTCTGCCTACCAGTCTGTCTCTCTCCCTCCCTCCCTCTCTCTCTCTCCCTCCCTCTCTCTCTCTATCTCTCTCTCTCTCTCTCTCTCCCTCCCTCCCTCCCTCCCTCCCTCCCTCCCTCGCTCGCTCGCTCTCTCTCTTTCTCTCTCTCTCTCTCTCTCTCTCTCTCTCTCTCTCTCTCTTCCTTCTTGCTGCATAAACCCTCTCATGATGCCCTTCTATACACTAGCTGTATAGTTGCACATGTGTGGGTCATATACCATAGTTGTAGCGCCTGTTACTCCCCCTTCTGAGCACCAAGTCCAACTATATATCAACCTCTCTCGAGGCCCTTTCTACCCCTCAATCTGACGCACCTGACACGCGTCCTCTACAAATCTTTCCCTGCAGCTAGGCCAACTGGTCTGGTTGGGTGTCCAGACTGTCCAGCCCGACTTCTCCGACGTTTCCCTTACAAAGGAGCAAAGGCCGCTTGAGCTTTTCTCAGGTTTCCCAACGACTCCAAGCCCATGGCCCCTTTGAAACCTTCGCAGCTTGGCCTGATAGAAGGCGCCGACCTCTTTCCCAGTTTCATCTGGGTGAATTCTTATATTTCACCAGGTCACCAGCCTGAAATAAGGTGGTTGGAGGGATATTCCCCACAGAAAACCCACCATTTGGGGTGAATTACTTCGTGTGAGGTCCTTGGAATTCACCCAGGTATCATGGAAGTGGGCAAAAGGCCTTTTGAAGCGGACTACCCTTTCTTTGGGACGCTGTTTGCCGGGAAACCAGAGAAGAACCACACATATTTTGGGGGGGTCCAACTCAAAAACCCATTGACGAACCCATGCATACTCTTGACCCAACCTGTCAATCCGCGCCACTTCCGATCCTTCGTGGATGGATTGGCCAACCAGAGCAAACAAACTTTTCGCGGTTACCACTACAATGATCCAAGCCCAAAAAGTGACTAGTTCCCGATTCGCAACTCAGGAGGATCTCAACTCAACATAACTTGGAACGATTGTCAATCTGCTACGTCCAGGCACAAACCATTGCAAACAACATCATATAGAACTACGGGTGCCGTAACAAGTTGGACACCCCTCCCCCCCGCAAAGTACCGCACTTGGATGTCGAGATGTTTTTTTTAGGGGATCCTCCAAAATGGTGCCTGTCCTTTTAGTGTCCCTCTAAAACCTCCAAAAAAGGAGTACCCTCACCCATATGGCAGTTCTACTGTGCAATCTTCAGGGCATCCGCATGAGTTCTTGCCACATCGTTCAAGATGTTCGCCTTTGACTCGAAGCAGGCTTAGATGACGTAGAACCGAGTTTATTGTGTGTTGCTTCTGTCTGCGGGGCATCTGTTCTTGGACGGGAAATCACAGGAAAAACTGCACATTTTAAGGTCCCACGATTTTAACACTCTTATAGCAACCCTGTGTTGAGCATTGAAGGAAGATGTGGGTGCGTCCTTTTTAAGGGGATCCCCCCAAAAAACAAAAGTGGGTTCTCCTGATGGATTCTCGTGAAAACTCCCCATTTCCGGATCGGCTCTCTTGGTATCTCAATTTGCGGATTTGGCATTCATCCTTTAACCAACCAACAAGGGTAACCGCAAATCGAAACTGAGCAAACTGAGAACCGCACATGAAACGGGAAAGATGACAATGACAATCCTCTGATCAATCCCAACACTGTAAACGTGGAGTACTTGAACAAGTACTTCCGGGATTCTCTTACCCGGCCTCTAGAGCCGCATCCTTCTCTTTGGCCCTCTCCTTCCTCAGATGGAAAGTGAGTCCGAACGAATAAGGGTCCACAAAAGCAACTACAGGATACTCCAACAGCATCTGTTGGCATACTGCCAAACAAGCAGAATATCTTAAACACAACTTGCAGGGCCTGCAAATCTGCACCCATTTCACCCAGTACTTTTGGTTCTACTAAGATGGGTATTCAGGTTTATGCGGGCTTGTCTCAAATTAGGGCCAGCCCCCAACATGAGGTGTGTCCATTGGGGTTTCCCGTTACAAATATCCAATAACTCTACAAAAATCGCCAGACCCAGCCGGGTATTGCTTTTCTATATAACCCCGTGAAACCAGGTGGTGGAACCCCTGTACCGCCCAACCCCACTGGCCAAGCAAGGTAAGCAACCATTTTGCGTGCTGAACTGATCTTCCCACAAGGGCGAAAGTCCTGGAACTCAGAGAGTGATCCGGCGAGCGTCTACAGCCTCTGTCCCTCTTGCGCTGCTTACGTCATCCAGCGTAGACCAGAGCCACACTGACAACCCGGTTTTACCAAGGCTCTCTTGGCGCCATCCGCAAAAGACACATCTAAGTGCGCGTTTGGCCATCCCATGAAATCCAAGGCTTCCCCTCTAGTTAGATGGTTGTGAAGGGAAAGCCAGAAAAAAGTAATAAACATCTTACTAGGCTGGAATTAGGTCCACAGCAAAAATATATCTTTTTTGCCTGGTTAGTGGAAAAACAAAGGGACCCAAAAAAAGCAAAAGACAAAAGGGGAGCTAATTCTGGGGAACTTCAAGGTTCCTGACTTTGAAAAACACTCAGTTGCCCACATGGGTCCTTCTCGAAATACTGAGCCCAACGCTAATGCTTGGGTTCTATTGGTGCCCCTGCTAAGCCATCCCCACACGGTTACAGTATTTTGACGCATGTTGAGATAGAGAAACACCTTCCTTCCAATCTGGTTCAAACCAAAACCACCCAACATCTACAAGTTGTTAAATCCCAACCCATGCAGAGTTGATCACCTGAAATGCCAAGATTTGCCACGTCTTGCACGTGTCCTCATGGTAATTTGGGGCTCGTTTGCTGAACTGTGTTCCCTTTGCTACAAGTACGTATACCTGGAGTCTCCCTGACCCTTTAAAGACAGGTCCATGACCCCCTCATCTAGGGTAATAACCCCATTTTTAAGGGTCATGGAGACTCTCGGTAGATTGCTTTGGGATCCCAGGCGCCTTTCCTTTCGGCCCACGGACGGCTCTCGCCCCACTTTGTGTCCGTCGATGTCCGGCAGCGAAACCACGGAGGAGCCGTGGGAGGCGTTCCGGGACGCGTTCCGCGAGACGTTCCGGGAGTTCTCCCGGGAAGCCTGGCGAAAACGTAAAAAATCCACGTCTGAAACAGGAAAAACGAGTCCAAGTGAAAGCTTGCTTAAAAGGCGAATGCAAGCCTGAGGCTTGCATGGAGACAAACTGAATTAGTTAGGTTTTTCCCAGCAAAACGACGAATCAGCCCTTGCAGGTGAAGGGGAACAAGAAGCGATAGCGACGATTGGGATTTTCCAAACAGCAGCCACTCAAAACGGAAACTCTGGCACATGAACCGAGGAGAGCGGACAAAGCGAACGAAGCGAACACAGGGGCTACTCCAACTACCCTTTCACATGGGTAACCAATTGGTGGCTATGATGGCTGGAAAAGTGAAAGCAAAAGGGTCCAATATGGACTGACTCACCTTAGTGGTTTGGTGTCGTGGAGCTTCGGGAGTCTACAAGAACCAGGGTTCACATCCGCATCACCAAAAAGTCGACCCTGAAAATGCGGTTTTCCTGACCTACTGCATACCTGATCCATCCTTGCGGGACCGCAGACCCTCCCAGTCACGGCCATTCCCCTCTATAACGCCGATTGTAGAAGGGCCTAGATCTAGCGAGTCACATCCCTCCCGAGTGCAAAGACCGGATCTTTTGACCGCACCTCACCCAGAACCTGCACTAACTGTGGGAGCAACAAGGGCACCTTGTTTCGGCAGACTTTAAAGAGGGGTTGGACGTCCCCTTGAACAGTTGCAATGTGGGTTCCACTGAAACGATCCCCACTTACTCAAGGTCAGAACAACAAATCAGAGGAACCCTTCCATTTGATTAAGTCCCCGAGAAAAACAAAAACAAACAACTATATATATATATATATATGGTAAACCCCCCCAGGACCTGATATATATATATGCATATATATACATATATATATATATATATATATGTATATATCCAGTAGTGATAGATTCCCCGTAAAACCAACCGGTGAAAAACACCTAAGCAAATGGAGGGACCCCTACTTACAGGGGCAGGGTACTTAGTAAGCGGTTAGTATCCATTGCTATAACCCACTGAACGGAGACATTTTTCACCATGGCCTTTGTGGGTAGCCATGGTTACTAACCTCTTCCTAAGTACCCGATCGCCCTAAGCAAGCCCAGGGAACACGTCGAACTGGAGCCACCCGGTCCGGGCTCCCACCTTGTCCCGCTCCCGGCTGAGGCTGGGCAATCGCGGGGGCCGCCCGCGCTCTGGCGAAAAGATGCCGGGTGGAGGCTGGGGGTTCGGTTCTTTACGTCCCTTGGTACTGTGGATGGTTGCGACATCCACTTCGCACCACGAAATCAAACCATGGGAATGAAACCACAAGGTTTGTTGGTATTTAAAGAGGAATCATCATTCTAGGGTTTCTTGGGTGGTGCAGGATTTCGTTGATCCACATGGTAGCAACAAAACTCGGATCTTTGCAGCCCGACTTCTGAAAACGAACAGAACCAACACACAAAAAACAACTGAAAAGCGACCGTGAAGAGCTTCAAATGCCATAGAATTGCCCAGTAGGACGAAGGGGACCGTACTTTTTAAAATCGGTCCGGAAAGGTGGCTCTCATTTCGTGATCACTTTTCAATGAAGAACAAGAAAACACACCCACCCCCTCTCCGCCTCTACAAAGCAAGGCCGACCCAGAACCAAGGTGCCTACCCCTCCTTCACAACACGGTTGAACCACCATTGCTTAAACCATCTCCTGTTGGTTTCCCATTAACGTCCAAACCACGTCCAAACACCCGAGGTTTCATTCCCATGGTTTCATTCCAACCATTACTTGCTGAGTTGGCCAACCACGTCCAAACTTGTCACAAAGTTGGCTCAAGCCCAGTAAGCTATAAAGCCTTCCCAGGGGGTGCTCCGTTCAAGGTGAGTCATCCATTCTGACAGGGGTCGGACCCCCCATATGGCTGTGGCGAATTCAAAAAACCGGAAAACTCCAAAATGGCTTGCTTTGGTAAGTGGAAACATGGACCAAAACCTGCGGCTTGCCCCTCCGATCGTTCAATTTTGAGCCACCCCCAGATTCCTCAGCCAGCGCTTTTTTTTTTTCTCCGGGGACCCTAGGAAGCTCAGCAAACACCCAGTGACTCACGCCCAAGAGCCGTGGGAGCCATTTGAGGCAAATTTACAGCCATCTGCGGATGGAGGAAATCTGCTTCGCACCAGTTAAGATGGATGAATAATAACTCAAACACAGGCATAAACCCGCCTACCAACTGATGCAGAATTCTGTCCATCGACAGTAGCATGAATTGAGAACAATCCTGAATGGTCCTTAATGTCCCCTCGCTAAGGCCTCCCTGCTCTGAATTAAATGATTTTTAGAGAGTCCCCAATTTTGACACATCTGGGTGTAAATTAGGGATACCCAGACCCTGTCCCCTGATTAACATAGAACCCACAAACCATGGTTCTACAGGAGGGGAGTAATGGCTATTTAGCACCGGCCACATTACTCTACCAAGATCAAAGTCACACCCCAAGGGGCAACGTTGACCCCAAACTAATACACCCCAGTTTATTTACAGGGGGTGTTTCCCTCCCAAAGTGATGAACCCCCACAGAACCCAGGGACACCACCATACTCCATGTGTTAGGCCCAGTTATAGAATGTATACTTTATTGTTTGCTTCACCTTGAGTCACTGGTAAAACGTAAAATGTATCCTAAGTCAACCCCATATTCATAGATAGGGGTTTATTAATCCGGGGTCAACATTACCCAGAGGGTCCCTTGGTACCTCATGAGGATGGCTGTTGGGGGGTAAAAAGGGGTCGTTCAGTACCTCCTTAGAAGGTACCAAGCGACCCTCTGGGTTAGGTTAAAGAAAAATCAACACTTCCAGCTTCTCCCGCCTGGCGGGTCGTTCTCCTCCACTGGCATGCCTTCGGCATATCCTTCGAAGCGACCAAGCCATGGGCCGTTGCAATAACAAGTACTTCCCCAGACGGGATATGGGTGGCTAGTCGTTGTTGAGGTATGCGTTTTCTGGCCACACATACATATGGGGGTCCCCCAACAAAGCTCACGCATTACACAGTTGGAATAGGCAACGCCCCAAACTGGTGGTTTTCTCTTGGTTTCCTTCTGGAACCATCCCACAAAGGGCACCCCCAGAAAAAGACACACCTACATAGCTCTTTCCAAGATCCCAACAAGGGAACCCTAAAAAGGCGCGTCCATATGGGCTTGTCCTTTGAGGGTCCTTGGGGTTAGTTAGAAACAACCCCTTTGCTTGGTGCACTAGTTTGTTAACGGCGGAACTCCCGAAAACTGATATATGGGCATGCAGGTCTGTTTTTGCTCAGCAAATTTCAGCCAGGAAACCCAAACCGTTTGGATCGACCCAAAAGGTCCTTATATTCTACAGACCATTTTCTTATATTATACACATGTCTTCACGCGGAAGGCAGGTCTCTTTCTGCTGTTTGCTCAGGCCCAACCCATAAGCCAAGCAGCTCCGGAGCTTCTCCTGCTCCTGGTGCCGCCGCCTTAGGACCAAAACGCTCGCTCATGGGGAGCTAAATGCCAGTGGCTCGTACCCTTGGGCTTGGTTGAAAGGGAAATCAAAAGGAAAACCCACTCATCTTGGGGGTCCCTTAAGACAAAGACACACTCGTATCAGCTTCCCCGGTGGTTTAGTGGTTTGGAGGTTCGGGAAACGACCCATTTACCCTCAACGCCAGGGTTCAAATCCGAATCTAAATAACCACCAATACAAACCACCAACGGGGGATTACCTGAAAAATCATTGAAATTGGGATTTGAGGTAATGTTGACCCCGGATTCATAAACCCTTCCCGTTCACAGGGGGTGTTCCCCTCTGAGTAGCGAGCCCCTGTTAATCAACCACGGGCCCATTGCCGCACAACTAAACTAAGTCATGAACATGGGACAATCATGCCAATACATTGTTCAGGCCCTTCCTCATGACATACGGTGGCTCCCAAGCTCGCTTGGTGGCTATGATCTCTCTCATGATGTGACTGTATAATTCAGTTCCCGAAATATGCCAGGTGTATCCGACAACCCAGCTTTTTCTGTGGTTATTCTGACTTGGTGGCTATTATTCCCACACACTTCATTGCCAACATCCTAAAAGACCATTCCCTCAGAACGTCCTAACTTAGGGTTGGCTGGATGTCTTGGGTTCCCGTGCAAAATGGTGGCTTCCCCTACACAAAAGTCTACCTGGGTGTTGATTGGTAGGGAAACACATGTCCCATAAAGCTGAAGTTTAAACGATCCAAACTAATGCCAGTAGCAGACAAGATGAACCATGTCAGGTGTATACGTACACATGCATTTACATGTGCACGCAAATTGAATGCTTTAAGGCATACATGAGGCCTTTGTAACACACTTGTCAGGCGTACCTGCACTTACGTTGTTTTGTGTAGATTAATGCACGTACACGGAAGCCACATGTAAGGTCCATAAAAGACAACCGCACAAAACATATGCAACACACATATGAGCCATGCAGTAAGCATACACAACCACAACCCATTTGTTTACGTACTTGTTCGGTATGCAAAACAAAGGATGTTGTTGACCTGCCAGTTCAAGACCAGGGACAATTCATTCAGCTGAAGGTCGGACTTGCTCCGCTTTTACATAAAATAGAAGCCTGATCAAACATCTGGTTGGCTGCAAATGTCTGTCTGCAAATGTGATTTGTTTGACCATGCTTCATGGCCGTTTTGCATGCTACGAAAGAGTGTCCCACGCTTTAATGGCACTTTAATATAACCTCTTGCAAGGGGAACCCCATTTTCCATTTCGGGGCTCCCAACAACGATACCCACGGATCCCACCAAAACGAACCCGACGTGTTTTTTTCACCCGGGCGCTGCGAGGCCGCGCGGCGCTGCTGCTGCGTCAGCGGCTGCTGCGCCCTCGGCTTTCTTCGTCGAGTCGATGGAAGGCGGCAAATGGGATTCTTCTGGACCCTCCAACTACTGTGGATGGACAAAATCCTGCACCAGTTGGAAACCATGGGAAACCACTGTTTGTTGGTATTTACAGGGGAATCATCCCTCCAGGGAATCGTAGGTGGTGCAGGAACCCTCCAACTATCAACTCTGATTGGTGGTTTGGATTGGTGGTTTGGTGATTTAGGAGTGGTTTCCCATTTAACAAGAATCAGAGGTTCAATTCCCCAAACCACCAATTTACACTGGCAACTACTGGTTCGCTGAAACTACCCATAAAAAAACAGGCAACCAAAAAGGGGGTCCCTGAAAAAAACAGAAACACTAACACAGGCATGTGTCAAAACAGGAACATCCCCAATTTCCTGCTGGGTGCCTTGCAGCGGATGATTTCTGGCCGAGGTGCAAAAGGGTGCTTGTTTTTGGGATATCCCTCCTGGTTTCAATAGGAAACCAACAGGAACAAAACACGTTTTGGAACCCCCCTATGTTGACCCGCCCAAAACATGTTTCCAGCAAAACCCACACCCTCCGGCAAAACCTATCACTCGCCCTGCAGGTTTTACCATAGAACAAAATGAAACATGTTTCAGAGGAATGTCCTTTAAGCAGATCTTCTTGTTGGGTTCCACGCGAACTTTGCAGCTGCCCAGTGACCCCTCATAGAAAAAGACAACCCTTTTTGTGGGGCCTGAGCCCGCTGAACCATAATGGATTCAGAGGGTGCCCATGAACAAGTCCCGGCGGTTTTCCGGCAAATTGTCGCTGCCTGCCCAGGGTCGGTGCATCCAACAATCGCCTGATGCACAAGCGAATCCCCAACCTGCGCCAGTAAATTTACTGGGCCCATGATTTTACCACTATCCAAGTCACCCAAGTGATAGGCTCAATTCCAGTTTCTGATTTTGATATTCCACGGAAATTGTCAAGACAAAGACCCCGGATTTAGTGTGATCTAGCAATCCAAATTGCAACCCATGCAAGAATTCCGCGGTGATACCAATTGTCCAGTTCTCGACTTCAAACTCAGGTTCCCAATCAGTAACTACCACAGAAGGAACCAACCCGGGGCATACAAACAAATTAAAGCCACAAGGAAGCAACTCCAAGCTTGGCCCAACGCGAAAACACACGGTGGTATACCCAACACCCCGGAACCCCAACCCAAAGCCGCTCTGAATCTTTTTGGGCAGAGACCCATTTTTGAGCTGTTCGGAAAAACAAAAAGAAACACAGGCACAGACTCACACAGGGGTCACTGGAGTTCCCCAAATCAAATCTGATGAATCTTCAAGTGGTTTCCATTGAGCCGATCGCCGCTTTTGAAGCTTCCCTTCAAATGGACATGCCTCAGACAAATTGTACAAACCTGATCCACACCCTCTACCATAACTGGCTCAGGGATTCCCTGACGCACACCCACACACATTCACACACATTCACACATGCACGTTCACACGTTCACACGTTCGTTCACACACACAGACACACAGACACACAGACACACAGACAGACAGACACAGACACAGACACAGACACAGACACAGACACAGACACAGACACAGACACAGACACAGACACGGACACGGACACGGACACAGACACAGACACGGACACGGACACGGACACGGACACGGACACAGACACAGACACAGACACAGACACAGACACAGACACGGACACGGACACAGACACAGACACGGACACGGACACGGACACAGACACAGACAGGGACACGGACACGGACACGGACACGGACACGGACACAGACACAGACACAGACACAGACACAGACACGGACACGGACACGGACACAGACACAGACACAGACACAGACAGAGACACGGACACAGACACAGACACAGACACAGACAGAGACACGGACACAGACACAGACACGGACACAGACAGAGACACGGACACAGACAGAGACACGGACACAGACACAGACACAGACAGAGACAGAGACACAGACACAGACAGAGACAGAGACACAGACAGAGACAGAGACACAGACAGAGACAGAGACACAGACAGAGACAGAGACACAGACAGAGACAGAGACACAGACAGAGACAGAGACACAGACAGAGACAGAGACACAGACAGAGACAGAGACAAACAGACAAACAGACAGACAGACGCCCAGGCTAACCCACCGGGTGACGTCTTCGGTTTTCTCCCCGTCCGAGTCCGTCCGAGTCCGTCCGAGTCCGAGCGGCTCGCCGGTCCTCAGCTCCGCGATGGACCGGGGGTTTTGGTAGCGCTGCTTCCGCTCCCGCGCCAGGCGCTCGACCTCCTCGCGCTCCCGTCCTCGGCCGCGCTGGAAAGGCAGTGGCGGCTTTGGGGCGGTGGGGCGCTCTGGGCCGTTTTCGGTGGTCCTTACCCACAAACAGCTGAAAACACAGCACATGCTGGTGGTTTCAACCGTTGACACCACACAAAAAGACACACCTTGAGGGTGTTTTTTTGCAGGGTGTTTGCAGCAACATTTTTCCCTAAACATTCAACCCCAAAAGGGGTACGGAGCCTCAGACAGAGATCCGTTTCCCAACAAAACTGAGCCTAAAAAGACAGAGACCCCCAAACAATTCAAATTCCAAAGAGTAGTTACCAAGCCTAAGAAGACAGCTTTCCCATTCACACCCCTATACATTTTGTCCTAAACATTCAATTTCAAAAGAGTACTAAGCTTAAGAAGACACCTGAGACCCAAACTTTTTTCTTTATCCCTAAACGTTCAACCCCAACCAATACCGAGCCGACTGAGACCCAAGTGGCTCTCCCTCTCCTGTTCCTCCTTCTCTTTCCGCAGTCTCGAGGCGGCCCTTTGCGCCGCGCTCTGTCTTCGCGCCTCGAGCTCCTGGCGAGCTTGAGGCGTCTCGATGGCAGCGGCCGATGTTTTCCCCCATCTTTGGGAATCTGTCCACATGTTTTTCCCCATGTTTGGTAGATTCCCCATGTTGTTTCCACATTTTTGGTTTTAGAGGGAATCTATCACTACTGGAAAAATGCTTATGGAACATAATGATATACGGGTATGTCTTTTTTACGGACCCCCCCCAAAAAAGGAAGTGATGTTCCTTTTGGCTTCCCTGCAAAACCAACCAACCCAGGTTCCCGGAAAAAAAAAGACACCCCCTTACGGATCTTGGGATGTTGGTTGTGTTAGGCGTTTGTGTTTTCCTCTGTTTGCGCCTTCCAAGAATGGGAGAAAACATCTTTCCACGGCTCTTACCGATGCTCCAGCATCTTCCTGGCCATGGCAACTCTTGAAACGCAAGGCACCCAAGCATTATATCCCATGATCGACACTCCTGGTTCGCTTTAACAAGAACCCTTACGTTGGCTCTCGAGTCCCTCTTCGGAGCTGACCAGACTTATCGCCAAGCAAGCAGGCGTAATATGAGCCATGGTCAAGACTCAATTACATGTCATGGTTCCCCTAGGAATCGTGATACTCTTGCTACGGACCCTACCAGGCGGATGATCACCCCTTTTGACCCCAAGGAAAGGAACCGGTGTTTTGACCATGGCACCTTTGAAGTCCATGTCGAGAAGACACGCTAAATTTTGGTCGTTGACTCGTTGACCATCCCTTACCCCTACAACACACTCCTTTCCTAGGATCCCCCCAAAACCACCCACACACACACACACACCATCCCAGATCCATCTCAATTAGTCTTTTTCGAGGTGATGGGGGGCCCCCCTTACGCCACCCTGTTCTGGCTGGCCTTTGCGGTCCCCACCTTTTTCGGAAGGGGCGGGTCTACTCGCAATACTTTTTGTTGGCCTCCACCCTAGGGGGCAAAAATTCAACGAGCATTTCAAGCGGTGTTTCTCCCTTTCAACCTATTCGCTGAACCCTTTTAGACCCACCAGCCGGGTTTTTCTTTCTGCTTCGCACATCCGCATCCCCGCGTGCGGAGACGCATCCGGGTCCGCGGTCCTTCTGGGACTCCGCTTGGCGTTCCTCGTGCTCGATGCGCTCCAGCGCCTGGCGGTTCCGCGCCGCCTTCTCAAGCTTCCGCTTCTCCTCCCACGAGCCGCGAGTCCGTCCGTGCAAGCCCCGATGCCCCCACGGCTGTGACACATGAACAGGCGATGTCGTTATTTGTTTGTGTTTTTCTGCGGGGGGTTCCTAGAAAACCAGGGGGTGGAACTGCTTGAATCTGTCTTGCCAAGACTTCAACTCTTCCCCCCTCCCCCAAAGAAGGGGTGTTATTTCTCCCACAAATCCTGAGGGTTTTGCAGGCAGCAAAGAACATCCGATGATTCACCAGGCTTCTCAGGGTGTTTCTCACAATCGGGGTTGGTTTTGATACCACCCGTTTCCACCCAACAAAAAAGGATTTCGAGGGTGGAATCCACTGAGTTGCGCATCGAGTTTGCTCCCGCGGCGCTCCAACAACATGAAACATAGGTTTCCCAAACCTCCCTGTTTCAGCAAGCATTCTTCCCGCAAAAGCGACGGTCCCAACACAAACGTTTTAACATTTGGCACGTGGAAGTATGGCATAATTTCACATGGTCTGTGTCTCCCAGTGATTCCAGTTCCCTGGTTTTGTAGGTAACCAAGGGCTTGCCACCCTTTAAACGCCAAACGGGATGGCGAAGGGTTACCTTTCTTTAGGGGTAACTAGAAGTTAGTGGGTGTGTTTTCTTGGCGGTGCTCAGTAGGCAATGTGGGAATGAAGCTAGGGATTCCCTTGAAGGAAGCCACCAGTTGGATGGTTCAGTTCAGGCTCATTCCATATCTCATTCCCTGCATCTCTCGCGCCAGCAGCAAGCTTTGTCATGCTTTTGCTTGGTGGGTTTGATGGGAAGCCAAGAGGGAAAGCCACCTTCAAAAAAACAAGACAAAATACTCCCAAATGGAGATGGGTCTTGTTTGTTTGACTTCTCAAACAAACCGGGACTCGGCCACAAGGGAGCGGAAGCGGCTTCGGCAGCGGCAGCCCGCGGCTCCTGGGACCGCTGGCGCAGGCGCTCCTGCGCTTTCTGGCGCAGCTGCTCGCCCAGCTGGTCGTTCTCCTGGCCGCTGCTCGGCGGGCGGACACGGGCGGGGCTCGGCTGCTGGGCTCCAAATGGGTGTGGTTGTGAAACTGAAACCACCAGTAATTGGACCGCAGATTTTAGTCCATGTTTACCAGGGCAACCCATTTTGGGCTTACCCGATTTTTGACCCACAGCCAAATATCAGCAGCTCTTTCTGCTGCTTTCGGGATGCTGCTTTCTGCTTTCTGGGACCGCTGCTTTCTGCTTTCCCGGAGGGTGCGAAGGGGTTGCGAAGGGGTTGCGAAGGGGGGTTGTCAACTGATCGAAGGCAGTAGGCTCTTACTTAGGGTTGCGCAAACCTTTATTACCTGGACCCATAGAGAGCCTGGAATGAAGAATTAGAAAAAGAACAACAGGAGACCCATCCTGAGCCATCGGAACCCATTTGAAATCTGAGCCCGTTGTGAACGTCCGGCGCAACATCAGTTGATATATCATAATATTGTTTTTTTTTTTTTTTTTTTTTTTTTTTTTTTTTTTTTTTTTTTTTTTAATATTTTTTTATATATATTGTTTTTTTTTTTTTTTTTTTTTTATTCAACTCTATTAATTTATTATTACTCAATTGAATAATAGAATAGGATAAACATATTATATCTCTAATTTCATTAACTTTGATCATTATATCACTAACCCAGAGGGTCCAAGTGCCTTCTAAGGAGGTACTCTTTTTACCCCCCAAAAGCTGTCCTCATAAGGTACTTGGACTTTCTGGGCAACATTATAATAGCTAATTTCATTAAGTATGATCCGTTTCGCTCCTTGTCTTGAGCGTACTCCGCCTCCATTCGCTGCAGAGACTCCTCCTCCTCCTTCCTGGCCTGCCTTGGGTTCGCGGTCTTCGTCGCCGCCGGGCTAACCCGGGATCCGTGCAAGGAACGAAGTACCTGGAGTCTCCTTCTGACTCGAATCAAAAATGGTTAGTCATTACCCAAAATAATGACCTAGATAGCCAAGTTGCTGCTTTTTTCAGTCACTGTTGCTGTTCTTGGGGCAAAGTTCATGGACAAAAGCGATTCGCAGCTGGCGATCCAGGGAGTCCTTACCCCAATTTTTTTCGGGGTCATGGAGACTCCAGGTGTTTGGATGTCTCAAACCCAGAGAGTCCACTTCTACGCCAGACGTATTTCAGGAGTTCCTCAGCTTCCCTGTTTTGGACCTCCACAAGTGGCAGTTTTAGAGCAAATCAGCAGTAACTTTCAACTTTCAGAGAGAAATCCAGTGCCCCCTGTATTTTCCCAGAGAGTCCCTTGGTACCTCATGAAGATGGCTTTTGGGGGTAACGGGTCGTTCAGTACCTCCTTAGAAGGTACCAAGGGATCTGGGAAATACAGGGGGCACTGGATTTCCCTCTGAAAAGTTGAAAGTTACTGGTGATTTGCACTAAAACTGTCACTTGTGGAGGTCCGAAACAGGGAAATTGAGGAACTCCTGAAATACGTCTGCGGCGTAGAATGGTTGGACAATTGGGTGAAGCTCGTCAAGGCGAGAAATTGGGCTTCTTTTTCCTTAGCCGTTTTGGGCTCACAGTTGCCGCTTGAAAGCGGGGAACCCTTTTGGGGTCGAGCGGCACGGGTAGAAAGTCGGTCCTTGGAAGAAAACAAAAGGAAGCCGTTCACCAGCCTTTAGTTCTTGTGCCCAGTGACGCTAGAAAACTGAGTTTAACTTTTACAGGTGAAATGGAAACTACCACTATAACACTTAAAAGCCAAAAGGCTAAGGAACCGGCTGGCTGGTTGAGCCAGCAAGAAAAGTGAACCCTTCCAAGGACGGATCCATTCTTAGTGGGGAATCCACCAAAGACGTTCAAAGGGTGGAATCCACTGAGCAAAACCGACCAGCAAGGCGTCGGTATGTGTCGCCGTGGGGTGGAACAACGGCATCTCGTTGCAACCCCTTGGATTGGCCAACCTAGGGTCAACATCTTGTTACATTTTCGGAGTCGGACGGCGACTCACAAGGGGCAAAGCAACCACGGGCAAACAATTTGACGAACCATGCAACCAGCTACAAAGTAGTCTATCGCCTCCTGTGGAAAAACCGTTGTCCATAGGTGTCCTTTTGGTAAGAGGCATAGGTATCCTGTTTAGGTTGGTTTGGCTATATATATATAATATAGATGGGTTCCACTAGCGTAGGAAACCCATTCATTACCAGGGAAACTCGTCTATTTTGTCATTGTCCAGAATAATGAAGGCTAAGGTTGTACCAAAGAAGGCTTTAGCTCAGAACGCGTCGGGCCTTGGAAATGCGACAAGCAAACAGATCCATGTAGTCAGACTTCCAGCAGCTCAGTGAACCATCTGAAAGGGAGTCCGGGAAAATCGTCCACTTTGGTTTCCCTTTGTAAACATATCAACACAATCATGCGAAATCGCAAGCCCCCGGCTTGCTTCCTATTTTCGCATTTGACTGCGGAAAGGCGGGGCGAAGGTACCCCCTAAGCCACAGAAAGATGGACAAAATCCAGTACTCTCGGTGCGAAGTGGAGTTTGGCACTCAGTGTTCCCCCCCCCCACCTCACTGCTTGCCAATCAAACATCTGACCTAAACCAATCACTGAACCCCAAGATGTCGTATACCAAGAAACATGGCGGAACAGAAGAACTTGCGTACCCATCCAACCGTGAGACACATGTTTGTCGATAATCGCGCGCCCTGAATCAACTGAAGCCTTCCTTTTGGGAAGCCAATTCTGGGTATGTCTTTTACCAGGGGACCAGGGGACCAGGGGACCCCTCAAAATGGTGTTGGTTTGGCTTCCCCTTAAAACCAAAAAATGGTAACCTTCAACGTTTATCAGTGGCAATGCAGCACCGCTATGAGGTTGAGAGTGGTTTGCTTGACTAAGAACGCTCACCACTTCATAAGAACTGGGCGAAGATATGCGCATTCGTGGATGATTCAGCAGATCGAACCACATGACAGGAGAGTCCTTGAATCGACCTGCGGAAAGGCAGGACGAATTGGCTAACAATTCTTTTGGCCTCCCCTTTTAAGGAGCCCTGAATCCTGACCACCTTTAGAAAACAAAGCAAACAACCCGACTTGCGGAAGGTGATTCCGACATGGACCCAAAGTCCACCACTTCCTTCCCCTCAGATCACATCCAAATCCGAGCAGCTCTCGCTTCTTCCTTTCTATCAGCCGCCGCTTGGCCATTTCGGCAGCGTCCTGGTGGCAAATCTTGAATTCTGTCGTCATGGTGTTGGTCACCTTCTGGGGCAACCTTGCAATGCTTGTCTACACTAGACTTGAAAGGAATCATGACAATCCCAAGCGACTTTTGACCATGGCACACGTGAATGATTCACAACGTCCGCAAATCACTGAGCTTGCGTGACGGGGTGTGTGTGTGCGCGCTTTGTCAGAGGAAGCCACCAAAAGAATGGCTTTCTGTTTGGTGTCCCTGTTGATCAACCCTGCCAGGGGTTCCCTCAAAGAACACACACACCCAAAGGAAGGCGAGGCGTTTGGCACGCGGAAACCAAACCCGTGGCTTTCTCGGGACCCGAAGAGACTTGTTGAAGCCAACGGTCAGCCCTTTGGGACGGACTCATGTCGAGCTGCTGCCGCTAAAAGGAAAACCTTTTAGGGGGAAACAAGACTCAGCTTATAGGGACCCACAAAGAAAAGGTGGTCGACCGATGACAAAAAAGCACAGAACACGAATTCGACGAAGCGCTGCTGCACATCCTTTTGGGAGCCATGACTAAACATGGACCAAAATGGCAAAACGAAATGGTCAAAAGATCGGCTTTGGTCAACTCAGAAAAAAATGTTTCAACCACAACAAAGGGAAAATCTGCTTCGTCCCCTAGTGCCTGCACAAAGGGATGTCCAACCAGAACCAACAACCAAAAGGAAACTTACCATTGGGGGGTCCCTGGTCCCTTAAAAAAGACACCCCCCCTACTTGCTTCAATGCAAAGTGCTTGATGAATATCCCTACCAAGTCTGGTGCTCGGGGAACCCAAAGAATCATCATCGTAGACGCCTTCTTTGGGGCTGCACTTGGGTTTCTTCCGTGAATTTGCCCCAGCTCTTTTGGTGAAGCACACATTGCACTTGTGTTCAAGTGGTTCAAGGCTCAAAGTTGAAGGACTGACCAAGCTTGAAACGGGTGTGGGTCAAAACTAAACCACCAGGGGACCGCAGGTTGTAGTCCAAGTTTCCATTTACCAGGGTTCCATTTTGGGTACATATTTTTTGACCCACAGCCAAATGACGTCGCCAACGTTTACGGCCTTTGGCTTTGTTTCCCCCTCAAGGCTTGCTAAGCCCCGAACCCTTGTGCCATCCTTTGAAGGGCTCTGGCTTTCCACCCCCCCCCGCTTGCCGTCCTCGACTCTGTGTTCTTCGGACTTCCCACTCTCACGCCTCTCCTCCAGATAGATGGGTCTCCCCGAACAAACCGACGGCGTAAATCCCATCGAAACCATCCAAGCCATCTGTTTCTCATCAAACTAACCCAAAAAGAACACCTATGGATATTCCTTGTTGCGGACGAAACGTGTGTTGCTGTTCAAGTGTTTCTTGCTGGTGGGACCTCCCTGCAAATACACGTACAAGTAAGACCTGCGTGCTGGTGAAAACGCGTTTTGCTTGCGGGTCTGAACAAATCAATGAACATGAAGAAACCCACACAAACTGGTCAAAACATAAAACGGCGTGCCAAATCTACAATAATTGGACATGGAACCAAACACTCCTTATGTGTCTCATAACATCCTCCTCTGGATCTCCCTGTTGAGATCCATGTTGATCGGCTAAAAAAAAAAACCGCGGAAGTAAATCCAAATAACGTGTTGGTGCAAGGGAGTTTTCAGGAAACCCAAACAGGGCAGAAGGGCAGAAAGGTCAGAGACGTGGTCATGGAAATATCACTCCTACTCAACCATGGCTTAGAACCGGTCGCGCGGGGAAAGGTCAGTTCTTCATGTAGGTATGTGTCCAAATGGCGAGACCCTCAGACCCATGTGGGTGTGTCTTGAAACAGGGGTGCCCAGCAAACATGCTTCGTGTCCTTTTGGTTTTCCTTTCCAACTGTTTGTTTCCACTAGAATTCTCCAACGCCAAAAGCTTTAAGTCCAGGAACTCAGGGAGTGAGTTTTAACCGGAACCAACAGAGGGGGGGGGGCAATCTCACCCCCCTATTAATAAATATGGATCCCCCCCAATTATAAAAAAACTCTTCCCATTTTTGTTTTGTTTAATTGTTTTTTTTTTCCAACAATGTGAGGGTTCACATAGGATTTGGACGACATGGATTGAATTGTAAGGTCCGCGAGTAAGCGGTTTAATAAGGAAATTGTATGTATCATTCTAGTTGTTTTTCAGGTTACTGGTTGTTTGTTTGCAGCCAGGCAGGTTAGGCAATTAATTGGCCAGCATGTACGGGAGAGAGACAGTCGCAGCTAGACAGCTTTTGGGGACATGTTTTCTTTTAGGGACACCACCCCAATGAAGGACCCAATTAAACAACCAAATCTGTTGGGGTGCAGCCAGGCAGGTCAGGTAGCCAGCATATGCGAGAGACAGACAGTTGCAGCTAAACAGCTAAAAGTAGGGCTGGAAGCTTGTTAAAAGTGCCCGCTAATAAGGATTCCAAGACTTTAGTAAGGGTTTAGTATTGGCTCAATTAAAAATAAATTGTGCGGAGTGGAAATCTGGTCCCGGGCCCCGGATTTCGATTTTTTATTAATTGGGGTCATTCATTAATAGGGGGGTGAGATTAAGAAAGGCACCAAGCCATGCTTAAAGGGGCAGGGTACTTAGTAAGTGGGTAATAATGATGGTTATAACCCACTTACCATATGGCTACAAGCCTCCTTGAGTTGCGTACTAAGTACCAAGTCGCCCCTTTAAGTGCGACAGCCCCACCAAGCCAAGTCTCCTGCATCTCCTGGTCCCGGCGTTCGCGGGCTGCCTTCTCCTTCTCAGCCTTGATCCTGGCCTCAGACTTGCCAAATGATGGGGGTGGGGCTATGGACTATGATGGATGCCCCAGATATCGCCAAGTTGCTGTGATTGACCAGGGTCGTTGTGTTTTTAGAGTCTCCTTCTGACCATTTCAACATGGGTGGTCACCCATTTCATAATGGTTGGTCATGGACCTATTTTTGATTCAGGTCAGAAGGAGACTCCAGGTATTTTGGCGGTGTGTTTGGTTTACTTGCAACCTGGCACCCACCGAGCACCTTACGAAGGACAATCCCCTAACAGGGCTCCCTGTATTTCCCCCTGAAAACATCAACCCCCACCAAGGACGGCCAAAAAGGTGGGACCCCTGCCTAAGGCCTAAAAGCTTGAGGGGAGAGCCCTGGGTGATGAATGACCTTTTTCAGGGACTCGGGTCCCCCCTACCACGGAAAAGGGGGCGTGGGGGGTCCTTTGGACCCAACTGCATTTGTCTGGTCTTCCCCAGAAAAGGGAAAATGGAACCAGAATTCCTGGGGCACCCCCCTCCCCAATTCCATCTTGAGGGAGTGTCTGAACGAGAGGCAACTTCTCTCGGCTACAGTCCTTGAACTTTCCAGGGATCCTTCCCAATCACCTATGGGATGCTTTTCGTGAAGTTTAAAAATAAATAAAATGGCAAGATGGCCATCAACCTGAACGCTAGCTTGATCAACCACATGTCCTCGCTTGCTTTCTGCTCCCCTGCTAAAAGTGAATCACTTTCAGTGGTTTAATACGGAAACCCATGAGTTGGCAAAAAGTTGCTCAGTCCTAACGTCCCTCCGCAAGATGCGCCAAAGTGGACTGTCCATTTTCCACCTTCAGGCTCACCCGGCGCCTGCGTTTGCTTCTGAAAAGCCTTGAACCTCTCCTCCTGCTGCCGCCTGGCTCGGAAAGCCGAGGATCTCAGGGAGGGTCAACTTAAGATGGTCTGGGGGTGAGCTAAATGGCTAGCTGCTAGCTTTGCCCTGGTTGTAACCCACCAAAGCAATGGTTGTAAGTCCCCCGTAACCAGGGTTGCTAGCCATTTAGCGATTCGTCCCAGACCATCTAAAGGACTTGGAGGCAAACATCGGATCTAGAAAGCTGGGTTGCTCTTTCCCTGAGCAAAAGGTCTTGCCTTTTGTAGGTTTGACGGAAAAGCCATGCGTTTCCAAAAGACCTTCCGGCAACTTACGCCCAAACAAGCGGAGACCGGTAAGCAGCGGTTCTAAAGATGGTTGTGGAGGTTTGCATAGGCTTTGCAACAACCCCCCAACAAAACCAGTTGCAAGAACCGGCTACAAAGGCAGCTCTCCACACTCGTGGCAATAGATTCGAACAAGAAAAAAGGGACGACAAAAGAAGCGCGTGCCTGTACGAACATGGCATGTGGGAATCACGACCTTAGCTGGTGCCTCTACTAACATGGCAGGTGGGAATCCATGATACGAGTTAGGCCCAGTTGTAGAATGTGTATTTTATTGATTGCTTCAATTGGAGTCACTGGAAAAAACAAGTATCCTAAGTCTACCCCAGAATCGGTTTTGGCCGCTTCTTCGAGGTGAAAAACCGACCGAAAAGCTGTGGGGCTCGCGCCACGGCGAAGCGTCCGACGACGTCGGTCGGCCTCTGCTCCTCCTGCCGTTTCTCCTCCTCTGCCTGGCGGGTGGCACGCACCTCCTGGTCCAGCTTCTTTTCCTCGGTGGGACATGGCCATGGGTCAAAATCCAAATCGTACCCCCCAGTGAACATCCCAATCCAATCCCACAGCCACATGGGTGCGTCAGTTTTGTGTTTGGATGGTAGCCCTTTGTTGGTGGTTTTGAGGGCAACCAAGTGTCTCTTTTTTTTTGTGTGGGGGGGGGGACATGCCATGGGTCAAAATCCAAAGCCCGTACCCCCAGTGAACGGCACCCAATCCAAACACTCAAATCGGTTCTAAAATGGGTGGTAAATTCACCTACCCCAAAATGGGATCCCATTGGTTTTAACCCACAGCCACATGGGTGCGTCAATTTTGTTTGATGGTAGCCCTTTGTTGGTAAGTTTAAAGGACAATCGAAAGGAAACCGTGTTGCTGCGTTGTATTGTTTGCTTTTGGGGGTTCCCCAAAAAGGAGATTCTTACTCACTCACTCACTCACTCACTCACTCACTCACTCACTCACTCACTCACTCACTCACTCACTCACTCACTCACTCACTCACTCACTCACTCACTCACTCACTCACTCACTCACTCACTCACTCACTCACTCACTCACTCACTCTCACTCACTCACTCACTCACTCACTCACTCACTCACTCACTCACTCACTCACTCACTCACTCACTCACTCACTCACTCACTCACTCACTCACTCACTCACTCACTCACTCACTCACTCACTCGCAACGGCGTTCTGAAAAAAAGAGACACACCCAAATGCGCACAGGTTTGTTTCTAAATGAGGGACCCCCACACGACCAGCTTCCTTTTTCGCCGCCTGTCAAAACCAACACAATTTGCTCCTCCAACAAAGACACCCACACAGCTCCACCCTTAAAATGGCGGCTTATCTGATGGCTTCGAAATTCCCTTTAGACTAACCTGAAAAGGATACCCTCAAAAAGAAATCTCAAAGTCGCTGCCAATAGTCATAGGACTTGTGTCCCCCAATGAGATGAGAGTTTGATGAGTGCCCCCATTTCATTAAATTGTCATTTGGTGAGTGTACCGGATGTCAATTCGTTACTTGCGTACATGCCAGGAGGGACCGTTGCCCAACCCACTGCTTGATACCAGGGTGGACCAGAAACTCTGGCCAAAATGCACGCCACGCCAGGCAGAACAAGACGCCCAAATTGGTGGTTTCCTTCTGGTTTCCCTGTAAAACCATCCAAGGGGGAACCCGGAAAAAGAAAAGAAAGGACACCATGTAGGTGTCTCTTTTTCCATGGTACCCCTTTTGAAGGTTGGCGGTTTTCAAAGGAACACTAAGAGGAACACCTAAATCCATGTTGGGGTCCCCGCCTACAAAAAGACACACCGCGCCATGATGTGCTTTTTCTTCCGAGATGCCTTAGGGAACCGTAGGGAACCGTAGGGAATCTTTCCTTGGCCCACCCCCCCCTTAGGAACTCCCAATCAAACAAAACCACCAAACACGCCATGTTTTTCTTTTTGCGAGCCCCCCCCCCCAACCAAATCAACAAAAACACCAAAGACGCCATGTGTTTCCTTCCAACCCCCCCCCCCCCTGCCCCACAGCTGTTTTGCGTTCTCCGAGAAGCCAGAATCTTCTGTCGCTTCTCCTGCTCGATGCGCCGCAAGCGCTCCGTGTGCTGCTCCTGCTGCTCCCGCTTTCGCACCTCCGCCTCCTCTTGCTCTCGGAGCCGCTCCTGGCGTGGAGTTCTCTCGGCCTCCACGCGAGTGTGTGTGTGGTGTGTGTGAGTTTTTTTTTGGTGGGGGGTTGTGTATCTGTTTTTGTGGGGGGGGGGGGGTTGTGTGGATTAGTTTGGGAGTTTCAGATTGTTTGATTTTTTGGATGAAGGAGCAAGGGAAGTAACTCCCGCTGCCCCGCTGCCCCCGACTGATTTCGGTGTTGAAAGCTCGCACGGCAGTTGCCCACTTCTGTGATACGATGGATGCTCCTTTCATACGACAAATAGACCAACCACACTCCAAAACCCACTGTAGGTTCCTACTTCATGCCCGTTGCCCTCCCAAACCCAACCCGGGGCCCCCTTGGCTTCCCTTCAGGTTTTGATTGTGACTCTGGCAAGCACGAGGGCTTGCTTGTCTATCCCACCTAGGAAAACCATTAAATGGTATAAACAGTGCCCCCTAGGAAGTGGACCCCCTGCCCCTTTTCCTCTGCAACTTAACAACTTCAAAACCAAAAAGCAGCAAACCGCCAAGACCTTCAGGTGTGAGCTCGTTTCACCCGCGACCTTGTCTTAATTGAATGGCTTGCTTCACCCCCTGCGCAAAAGTTTAACTTCTTGCTCCCGCCACGCCATGGGCTGTTATTCCGACTCAATTTTTTGCTTCGTGGGAACGCAATTATACAAGCACGACCCAACAAAATGAAGCCTCAAGATCCGACCAAATGGGGGTGTGTTGTTTTAGGGTGTTTCCCTGAAAGGTTGTTTGCCTTTTCCGTTGAAACCGCTCGACAAATGGTACCCTCACCCCAATTTGGAAAATCCTACCTGCTTCAACTAAAAAGCTGAAGTCGAAAGATCCAACCAAACAGCGACAAAGCAAGTACCTGAAGTCTCCATGACCCTTGAAAAATGGGGTCATTACCCGACAATAAAGGGGTTATGGACCCATTTTGTTCAGAGTCAGAAGGAGACTCTTGCAGGGGTACCTCCCCCATTCTTTCCGGGGATCCTTCTTTCTAGAAAACCTTCAGAAACCCAAGGGAAAACGGCTGGTTTTCGAAAAGAACAATGGTTGAAAAGAATGGCGGAAGCAACCTCTAGAACTCTGGGCAGCAGCCAAGTCATGCCGGCGGCTCCAGTCGTTCACGCTCTTTGACCTCCCGCACCCGGCGCCGGGTCTTGGCGACCACGTCCTCGTGGTCGCTGCCATCGACGGAGCGCCCGTCGCTGATGTGGGTGTCCTGGCCGTACGTGGGGGCCTTAAACGGGGTCTCCTCGAAAACGGGTTTGTACTGATGGACGAAACCATTTGGCACCTAATGAAACCCTGGAATGATGTTTCACCTGTAAATACCAACAAACACTGGTTTCAACCCTGGCTCCACAGTGGTGCGGCATTGTGTCCATCCACAGCATTTCAGGGAAGACAGCATATGAAGCCGAATCTAAACATTAGGCTCTCATTCTTCCCGTTTCAAAGAAAATTGGAATCACTCTTCTGAGTATACTGGCCAAACATCTCTTGCTATGACTCCCCTTGCTACCGTTTTCCGTGTGTTTAGTTTTGCCAACAGGACAGTTTCCCCTATTGCGCATCAAACGCAGGGATTTGGCCAGGGCCGCAGTTTCTGGGTGACCCAGTGAAGAGGTTTTCATAAACCTTGCTTGCCCAAAGGACCTGCCTGTATCGCCAGTTGCTGCTTTTTGCCATCCAGTTTACCCCAAAAACCAGCCACGGTGACTGAACAAAGCAGCAACTTGGCTATCTAGGCGGAAATAACGGGTCATCCCCGTGTGGGGCCATGACTAAACATCAACTGGGAAAACTTTGGGCAAGTGAGAAGCTGGTTCCGATCGGCGGGATTTTGTGAGAAGGATTCCTGGGATTTGGGCTTGGTGGCTGGGAAGCTGTGAAAACTTCACGTTTTGCTGGGAAACACACTAGCATGATCCCAACAAGTTAAACTCGTTTGCTTTCCGCTCCCCTGCTCAAAGTTTAACTTTTAGTGGGTTAATGAAAAACCCATGAGTTGGCAAACAGTTAAAGTCCTAACATCCAAGCAACATGCACCAAAGTAAAGGTTCAAGAGCCCACCCAACAGCAGCCAAGCTTGGTGCTGGATGAAACAAACGACAATTAGCTTCAGAAATGGCCAAAGCATATTTAGAACATAGCTACTGTAGCTTCCCAGGATGGGGCATGAATCCTCCGAAGTCAACATGAAATACTCCCGCCCCCCATTTCTTGACCCATGTTCATGTTTGGCTTCACATTTGGTCTAAGACCAGAGGCAGTCCAATAATTTTCCACCTGCAATCATGACAATATTTTACCCCACAACCCCATTCTCATGATTTAGCCCTTCATAATGACCACCTGGACCCACAAACTACACTCAAAACTGCGAAATCACCCCACAATTACCATTGTTTAAGGGTGGTGTGAGAGTTCAGGTGCCCACTAAAATACGACATCTTGGCGGACACCCCCGATTCGTGAGCCACTCGCCTCCTCATGGCGGCTGGAGCCTCTAGAGGTCACTGAGGACAGCTCCGGGGGCCTCAGACGCTCCAGGCCATCCTTCCATCGGGGCCCATAGCCCCCGTCGTCCATGGCCCACGGACGAAGCCAAAATGGCTCTTCGGCTCAGCAGCGCGCTTCGCACGGATCCCAGGGCGGTATTTTCTGGGTCCTCCAGTAGAGAGGCTAGAATACGGGTACCAACTTTTTTCGGTACCCAGACGCTCACGATTTGATTTTGGGGCGTCGGGGTGTCGCGGGGCGTCGCGGGGCGTCAAGTGAATGATCGGGGCGCCGTTTCTGAGTTCACTCACTTCCCAGTTTGCACGAGGGGTTTGCAGTGCGCAAACAGCACCCCATCGCTAGCCTGCAAAATTGCGGCAGGGGTCTTTAAGGATTCTGAAGGAATGTCACCAGGACGTTTCGAAGGCTAGTCGTCTAATGCGTCGTGGGCCCAGCTGCGCACTATGGATCAAGGCGCCACTGGTCAGGGCTATCTGCTGCATCAGATTTCCATGGGCTAGCTGCTGAGGACAACCCTGCATCATTGACATGTCAATGTCAGGCTTGATCAGGGAGCTGGGCCGGTTTTTGATGGTTCGCGTTTCCACATGCGCTTGTGTATTTGCTTGCCGTGGAATTCCAAACTCAGAAATGTTTTCCCCGCTCCCCTACAACCCAAACTTTGTTAGAAGGCAACTGCGAACCGACAAAAGCTGTGCGAAGCAGCCATACGGGCAAGAAACCTGGAGGTGGCAATTACTGCGCTTTTGTCAGCCAACCTGACGGCCACATAGGTTGCTAATGCCTCACAAGCTGCTGGACGCAACCCAGCCGGACCTTTCCTTGAGTACTGATGACGCCAGTTCAACCCACTGCCCTGCTGCGCGCACAATGACAGAGCAGGCTCAGCAAGCCCCAGCCGATCTGGCTCTAAGACTAGTCTCCACTTGGGCTTTCCAGCTCGCCTTTCCGAAGGGTTGTGGAGGCCTTCGACCTTCATGGGCAACGCTCTCTTATGAAAACATTGCGAAACATCAAACACCACCTGCTTTTGCTTCCTGTTGCAGGGGTGCATCATCACGGGCCGAAAACAGGATGCTCACACCTGGTAAGAGTCCAAGAGAGGCCACAGCAAAGCCGAGGTGCCCACACATTTCAATCTGAAGCGGTTCAATCACAAAGTAGGAGCCGCCAGTGGCACTTGTAGCCTTTCAGTCCAATCCAACTTGACCCCCCACCGTTGCACACAATCTGGCTGCAGAATTCCTACCTGCAGGCGCGCGCACGTGAAAACAAGGCGTGAAGCGGAATAGAGTGTTGGCGGCGTTTCTGAACCAGAACCCTCTCCAGCATTTACCACCAAAAACATGTTGAACTGTCAGACGCACAGCTCTTTGCATGTGAGCTGGGGGCTTGGACAAGCGGTCGCAAGCGCGATGTTTTGACTCTACCGCGTGTTGCTGCCCCATTGTTTTGAAGCGTTCAGCAGGTTTCCGTCTACCAACGCCCGTGCTAGTCAAATCATGTACGGGTTGGAGATTCTGTTTCTGCAAAGCCCTACAAAGGGCGACATCCTATGGCAACACGTCAAACATCATAGTCCCAAAGTCTCAAACCAAAAAGATCCTACCAAAGTTTTTTCATAAACTGCACTGGAGCTTATGCCCCAATAGGATCCAGCGGGTTGTGACGCGCGGGCTCGGGACCCCCCACACCAGAATCCGAGAGAATCCGACGGAATCCGACGGAATCCGACGGAATCCGACGGAATCCGACGGTCGGGGCGTCAAATCTCCTAGTTTCGACACCCCCTGACCCCAATCCGACGGAATCCGACGGAATTGCTTGGGGCGTGATCCCGTCAGATTTCGTCGGATTGGGGGTGGAGGGGGTGTCGAAACTAAAAGAGCATCGACGCCCCAAGCGATTCCGTCGGATTCCGTCGGATTCGGGTCAGGGGGTGTCGAAACTAGGAGATTTGACGCCCCGAGCGTCGGATTCCGTCGGATTCCGTCGGATTCTGTCGGATTCTGGTGCTGGAGTTCCCGAGCCCGTTACAACCCGCTGGATCCTAGTGGGGCACTTGAAGCTCCAGTGCAGTTTATGAAAAAACTTTGGTAGGATCTGTTTGACTTGAGACTTTGGGACTATGATGTTTGACGTGTTGCCATAGGATGTCGCCCTTTGTAGAGCTTTGCAGAAACATAATCTCCAACCCGTACATGATTTGACTAACACGGGCGTTGGTAGACGGAAACCTGCTGAACGCTTCAAAACAATGGGGCAGCAACACGCAGTAGAGTCAAAACATCGCGCTTGCGACCGCTTGTCCAAGCCCCCAGCTCACATGCAAAGAGCTGTGCGTCTGACAGTTCAACATGTTTTTGGTGGTAAATGCTGGAGAGGGTTCTGGTTCAGAAACGCCGCCAACACTCTATTCCGCTTCACGCCTTGTTTTTCACGCGCGCGCCCCTGCAGGTAGACATTCTGCAACCAGATTGCGTGCAACGGTGGGGGGTCAAGTTGGATTGGACTGAAAAGGCTACAAGTGCCACTGGCGGCTCCTACTTTGTGATTGAACCGCTTCAGATTGAAATGTGTGGGCACCTCGGCTTTGCTGTGGCCTCTCTTGGACTCTTACCAGGTGTGAGCATCCTGTTTTCGACCCGTGATGATGCACCCCTGCAACAGGAAGCAAAAGCAGGTGGTGTTTGATGTTTCGCAATGTTTTCATAAGAGAGCGTTGCCCATGAAGGTCGAAGGCCTCCACAACCCTTCGGAAAGGCGAGCTGGAAAGCCCAAGTGGAGACTAGTCTTAGAGCCAGATCGGCTGGGGCTTGCTGAGCCTGCTCTGTCGAACCTGCCCTGCACAGTGATTGCACCTAGCAGCTACTGAAGCATTATCAACCTACGGGCCATCACCTCGGCCGTATGTCCGCTTCTGCGGCTTGGTCTGGTTGTGCTTCATAGCGCCGCTGAGCTGCTTCGCACTGCGTTTGTCTAGCAACTGCCCCAAGATTTACGGATTTAGGAGAGTTTGGCAAACCATTCAATTGCAGCCAGCAAAGGGTGAGAAACACAACCAACAAAAAGCAAACCAGCTCCTTGATCAAGCCTCAACATTGACACGTCAATGATGCAGGGTTGTCCTCAGCAGTCAGCCCATGAAAACCGTGAAAACCTGATGTTCAGCAGATTCGACGAACTGCCCGTGCTGCATGCAAGTAGCTGCAGGGCCTGTGACGCGTTAGACAGAATCAACATAGACTTCAGCCTTCGGGGTGTCCTGGTAACACCCCCAAAAAAATAGCGAAGACCCCTGACACCCCACAGTTTGGCATGCAAGCCACGGGGTGTGCTATGCACAGGGCCGGGGTGTGCATTGCACACCCCCTCGAGCATCTGAGTCTATTTTAGTAGGAGTAGGGGAACCCCCCTCCAAAACTGGGTAAAAGGGCACTACTGGATAAAACCTAGTTTTCGAAGTTCAACCAAACCGACCTAAAAAAGGACACCTTGGTTGTCGCCCGTTTAACCCGCGGATCGCTTTTACAACTGTGCAAATGCCTCTAGAAAAATCGGGCGACCCTTGGATCCAACACATGGCTCTGTCCTTTGAGTTGATACCGTTTGTTAAAGCAGGCCACAAGGAAACCAACTCTGTGGGATAAGACGCACGTTGGGTTGGTTTTAAAGGGAAATCAAACGACAACCGAAGTCCATCCCCGAAAAGAAGACGTGCCCGCATCATAACCACTCTCCATCTAGAAACCCCCGCGAAAAGGTAGCTTCAGTGAATCATTGGGGGGCGTGTAGCAAAGCATGCAGCAAATCGTAAGACACCATGAGTAGTTGTCGACTGAAGGCCCAACAAATTGCTTCCGCCAGCTCAACCCATCTTCTTAACGGGTCACTGGCATGCCAGAATTCTGATTCGGTCTTTGACCCCTGCATCCCCTGCAAAACACGGTTGTGACAACATATCGATCGGCACGAGGGTAGAAAAAACAGCTCCGGAAACGGAGAAAAAAAAGACTCTGATCATCATGTGACTTCGGATTTCTTGTGGATTGGCCAAACCAAAGTAACCACACTATTGGTTTACTACTAACATTATCCAAAGTTCGAACCCTTAAAGTGACTAAAGTCGGAAACGGAACGAAACGGAGTGAGTCATGTTTCGACCAGGTTTGGATATCCATAGGCTGCTGGAAATCGATCACCCTTCGTTGCCTTCCAATGTGTTTCTATCTGGAAGGTTTCAAGGCCCAAGTGTGACAGGATTGCTCAGGTGTGTGCCCCACCAGCTAAGGACAAAAACACGTAGACATATTTGGCTGAGTGACTCATCTTCAGTTTTGCGACTGGCGTATTGGTTCTTTTTCAGGTTGATGCCACAAACTAGCTGAAAGGGTTGCCTTCATTTAACAAAAGTCAAAATGAGGCGTCAACAGATTGTCAAACGAGGGGGGATCCCTGTACGGGGTCTGGAAAAATCATCAATTGGCCAATCCCTTCTCACGTAACCAGGCGCTCATGGACCCTCCTAAAAAGGGTGCGACTCCTCTCACCCATTTTGAAGGCCGGCCCCTCATGTCTGTGGGCACATGCAAGCTTTTGGCTATATGGGTTTATATCTGTCTGTCTCAAAAGTTCCAGACATGGATTTCAAGCTTAAACACGGCAACCAACAAGGGGCCCCCTTTCGCCTCGGACAAAGACGAGCCACTCGTTGTCGTGCGACGCAAGTAAAATTCGCCCAACAAGTTTGTCCTTGGACTTTTTACCAAACAACCAACCCACCCACCCACCCACCCACCCACCCACCCACCCACCCACCCACCCACCCACCCACCCACCCACCCACCCACCCACCCACCCACCCACCCACCCACCCACCCACCCACCCACCCACCCACCCACCCACCCACCCACCCACCCACCCACCCACCCACCCACCCACCCACCCACCCACCCACCCACCCACCCACCCACCCACCCACCCACCCACCCACCCACCCACCAACGAGTGGATCCCAGGCAGCCATAGTAGGTAACTCTTCGCTATGTCCTTTTGGTTTCTAAAGGGTGCCCTTGCTGAAACTTAGTAAGTGGTTGCAAGCCTGGCTATAACCCCCTTACCATGATTATAAGCCTCCTAAGTCCTAAGTGGGTTCCTAACCACGAAGTACCTTGCCCCTTTAACTTGCTGGTGCGATAGGCAGGGGATCAGGGAATGAACCTGGAGATTCCCGACTAAAGGAAACCAGCTCGGAAATGGATGGTTTGTCTCGGGGTCATTCCATTTCTCATTCCCTGCATTTCTCGCACCACTCGCACGTTGTGCTCCTGGGCTTGTCAACCTTCCATTTCCAATTTTGCTCCCTGGAGAAAACAACAACATATGTTTGCAGTAGTGAAATAAATTCCCCTTATAACCAACAAAGGTAAATAAACAACATATTCACTTCAGCAAATGGAAGTGAAGTCTAAAATCCATGAACCCAGGGAGTAAGTGTCTTTTTCCCGCACAGGTAATTAACAGGAACCCCACGGCTGGAGCTTCCGGCGTCCGATTCCAACCCGAGCGGGCGATTCGATGACACCGCGACCTGCAGCTCCCCGGCTCCGTGGCGGGAGGGGTCCCAGGCGATCTGCCCCGTGCCTCGGCGCGGCTTCCGTTGGATCTGGCTGAACATAGGAGTCATGGGGGCTGGGGGGGAGGGAGGGACGGGGAGGGAGCCCAAATAAGCCCCAAATAAGGCCTTATTAAGGGCTTAATAAGGGCTTATTTGAGGCCCCTCCCCCTCCCTCCCCCCCAGCCCCCATGAAGGAGGGCGGTTCTAAACAGGATCTGGCATAGGGCGCATGGTTTCCAGCGGGGGAAAACGGAGGGGCATCGGGGGGGGAAGTTCTAGACAACAAGCTTTTTTCAACATTCAGTGAGGTCCTGGCTGGGGGGGGGGAAGGGGGATTCTTCAAGGGCGCCCTCCATTTTTGCAAAGAAGGGGTCAAATATAAACCCAGGCCCAGCCTCTCATGTTCAACATGTCCTTGGAGTGACCTTCCCTTTCAAATTTACCGGCCCAAAAAGAGGTGCCCGGGCTAAGCATGAGTTGACCAAGACAAACATCCCGAATAAGGCTCACTGGATTTCCCCAAATGACAAATTGATGTATTGACTGGAGGGCTTCATGAATTCGCGAGTACCGCTGCTGTTGCTGGGCAACAAACGTTGAGGGACTGCCGCCAACACCAGTTCGACTCTTTTGGGAAGGGCTTTTGAAGGCATATTGTTGAGGCTACCCGCTTGTGTGTTCGCGTTTCAACATGGAAGCGATTCAAGAAACAGCTCTCATTTGGGTGATTGTTGCTTCCAAAGGGAAGCCTTGTAGGAAACCATCCACTGGGGACCTGCCCCCTTCCAGAGACCTGGGTTGGTCCCAATAGGGGGGGGAACTCGTATGGTTCCCTTGATTTTCCCTCTCTGAACCAATCTAAGAAAGTCCCTCAACAAGAAGGCACCCCCAAATGTTGACCAGGACCCAACTTTCCCATGCTTTTCAGGCTGTCAGGGTGTTCATTCTAGTGTGGATTATGGTGATTTGTTTGCGCAAGCCTTGTGCTCACAATCTTGGATTCGAGGTAGTGTAACATGGGGAAGTTGTCGGAAGTTGTTCAGGGCTTTTGTGGACTTTTCAAAGGGAACCAACAGGAACCAGCTGAGAAACCTGCTTAGAACTCCGCTTCTACCTGATAGATGCGATCCTGGCATTTTCCACCTGTCGAGGAGGTGGTGACACGGACACACAGAACGGACATTTGCACCAACCCTCCAAAATGGAGTGCCCCAGTTGGCCCTAAAGATCATAGTTGCAAAATCGACACGTGTCCAGTGCAACGCGGGGAAAGTTGGGCAAGCTTCCTAAACTGGGCTGCCCGGTTTGCGATCCCCTGCACAAAGTTTAGGTTCTAGTGGGTTACACGGAAACTACCACTAAACCCCAAAAAACAAAACGCCAAGGGGATGGCTGGGAGCCACCAAGTAAAGTAAGGCTCCAACCAGTATACTTAACCTGGCAGATTGATAGAGCCTGCGATCCCTCCTGCGGATCCTTCCCTTAGCTAGCCTTCCCCCCTTCTAGCGAATCCGAACCCCAAAGAAAGGATTGATTGCTTGGCTATTGGCTTGGATCTGCAGCATGCGCGAAAGAGGGGGAGGTTCTTCCCAAGATTGGCAGGGTGCTAGGGGGCCTGTTTGGGGTGGCATGTGTGGCCACGTGTCCTGGCGCTTGATGAATTCCAGGGGGAGGTTCCGCTGGATGCGGTTTGGGTTTGTTGGCGTATGGGGTTGGGATGGAGTGACCAACATCGATTTGATTCGCTCCGTCGGCCAAAGTCGCGAAACATCGCGAAACGACCCAACTAACATGGAGCTGCACAAAGTCCCCTTCCAAGAGAAAAGTTGTCTTTGTACAACTGCACTTCCATGCTAGTCAGGAGGCTACTGATACTGATATTTATGGTATTGCTCTCAAAGAGGTGACGTGTCAACTGGCTTCAAAGGGAAACATCGGGTCATCGGGCCCCTGCTTTCCGTTTCCAGCGGGAATGTTCCGTCGAACCAAAGCACAGTCTTGGTGCCCAGCGAAGATGGATTGCAATGAAGCTCTCGTTAAGCGAGAGCCTGAGGTGCTGGTCGACACGTGGGTTCCCTGAAAACCGGCCACGCAAACTGTCTTTCTATGGTTGGAGGGGGAAGTAAAAGGAGTCACCCTCCCATCCCCACATCTCATACCAGGGGGGCACATGGGGGATGTGAGTCCACCACCTTGCCGAAAGCACTACATAAGATCCGTTCAACCCGGGCACCAACGTTTCCGACCTGCAAACATCACCAGACCCTGTACCCTTTCCGAGCCGGAGCCCTGCGTTCATCGTCTCCTTCTGGCTGAAAAATCCTTGGACTCCAATGTGCTTAGCGCAGACCCCCAGTGGATATCCATGGAAAAGGCGCACTTGTCATGGTCTTTGATTGAACAGGGAAACTCCCTCCGCAAAACAATTTGCAAACTCATACAACAAAGGCCAACCACTGGAGGTCTGGATTTTTGTGCAGGGCTTACAACCCCTTCGTGATATTTATATAAACCCCACCTTCTCGGCGAATATACTTTTCGGATTCGTAGCTGTAGTTGTGCGGTCTTCCCCCTTAGTTTTGTGCACTTCCTTTCTGCAATGATTGTTTCGCTCGGGAATGCAAGAATGACGCTTGTCCCTGCCCCCTTGAAACTTATCAGGGGCCTCCGCAAAAGCATGAACCAGCAAAAAAGGGGGAGGTCCTCAAAAAAACTACAAACACCCTAGTGGTCGGACCCTCCTTAGAAGGGTACACAAGCCTAGACAAATGGGTGTCTCAAAACAAGTTGACCCCCCCCCCCCCAAAGAAAAATGAACGTGTTCTTGCGGTCTCCTTTTGGAACCAGCCCGCTTCCCCAAAGAAACAACAAAATAATCACCCAAAACCAAAGCAGACGGGCACCCACCTCCGCATGTCTGGACCTCCGGAGCTTTGGGCCTTCTGCCGGGCCCGGCTGAGGGCCCCCGCTCGCTGCGCAACAGGAAGAGCTCCTGGCGCAGCAGTTGGGTCGGCGCAAAGAGCCTCAGCGAGAGAGGCGAGCCCCCGAGAAACTTCCGCACGGGTGGCTCGTTGGTTTTGCCTTGGGGGTGGCTTTAAAGGGAAACCGAAGGGAACACCGAAGCGCGTTCTTTCCTTTTTTCTGGGGGGGGGGTCGCGACTTTAAAGCATTTTTGGGGGGGCGGGTCCAACATTTTAAGACAAATCCAGATGGACCACTTGGTTGGTTGGTTTAAAGGGAAGACAAAAGGATGCGCTGAATGGGGGGGGGTCTGGGCAAATCTAAACGAATTCCAGCCCCTTGAGCGGTCCGCCTTGAGGGAAAACTGAATCTTCTGGGCTATGTTGCGCCCAGGAACAAACTGCACCGCTCCAAAGTCAGCGTTACCCCTGTTTATCATTATGTTCTTCTGAACCTAAAGTCGCCCAACAAATCAGGGCAACAACCAACACTTAAAACCCGGTTGCGGCCAATGCCCTGAAAGGCAGATTGAAACCATGTCTTTTGGGAGCCCACTGCTGGGTAGTTCTTTGGCCCAACACCTTCCAGAGGAATTTTCAGGAGCCCCCAAATCCACTGAACGGGGTGCACCACCGAAGAAAAACCTTCGCCTTGGTTCTTGTCTGGCTTTCTCCGGTTTTCTGGAAACAACCAAATCATCTTGTAACAACCTTGGACCCGCAAAGGACCCCTGTTTGTCTGCCTTTTTCCACTTTTTTATGGGTCATTTCGGCAGAGAAAAGGAATCTTTCCATTGGTGGTCCAGGAAGCTCCAGTTGTGGCTGGTGCCCTGAGGCCTGGGGAAGAGCCCCCCCTGCCCACGTGACCGCCCAACCGGCGGTCGCCGACTCGATTCGGCCGCGTGGCAAGTCGAAGATCTCGGCCGACAGGAAACGCGGCGCGGAGCGCGGCAAACCTGGCAAGGAGCCAACTAACAAAGGCGATTGGAGTTGGGCGCCAAACAATTGCAACAAGAATAGCATCATTGGACAAAGCGGCACATTGTGATCAGTTTAAAAAAATCGTTTTGCGCATGTTCTAAGAAGACATTCTGTTGCGGTCGTGATGAGCCTTTGATCACATGTAAAATGTATACGTATCTCCATCAACGTGTCACACCGGGACACCACCTGGCACCGGGTCACCGCCAGGGTACCGGATCTGTGGAAGACATCCGCTTCGCACCAGCTATAGATGAACGCCGAATGGGATAGACCACCCAACTGGTGCAGGATTTTGTCCATCCATAGTAGCTGGACGCTACTTGGGAAATGAACGAATAGCTGGGTGCGATTCTGCAGGTGCTCTTCTGCGACCAGAATCGCAAAAGGAGCACATTCGTCTTTTTTAATGGTTGATTTGGTTGAAAGAGAAACTTACCCCTGCCCCTCCTCCCCCGACCTCCCACTGAGTAAGGCAGCAAGTTCGCTCTATTGTTTTGGGGATGTTACAAGGGGGCAGGGTTATAGGGGAATTGGCTCCTATGAAACCTCCATCAAATCATAAACCACGGCCAGGGTCCTGATGGAAATGGAAGGGCAAAGTATGTGCTTTGGACTTTGCAGGAATTCGTTCCGTTTCGGAGCAGTATGCACCTTTTATATCAGCCTTGAGCCAAACACGCAGTACATGGCTCTTTGGAGTGAGGGTGTTTTACCTACTCTTGGAATTGGGGTATTGCCCCTATCCCAAAACGTCCCCCCGCGCCCGAACTCCACGGCAGCACAAGCCTTCGCAGAGCCGCCCGCTGGAAGTCCAGGCCCCCCGGCCAGGTCTGGGTATCCAGCCGCTCTCGCCAAACACCACAACCAAAAGGAGTTCCGGGGCTTTTGAGGGTACGAAACAAAAGCAAGTCTTAGGAAAGGCCAATGGTCTCAAAACTTAAGCCCATCCTTCAATTCCTACAGTCCATGCAAGCCCATTTGAGGCTTATGGTGGCAACAGATCCGTCGTGACGCCCGCGCGAGGCGCTGGGTCGACACTCCGGTCTGTGCCCCATTGCTCACGTGCAGCCACTCACCGGCAGCCGCCGCAGCTGCAAACAGCGTGTCCAAGAACACGAGCACGCAGCAACTCCCACCAATACCATCACCCGCAGCCCGCAGCCAGCCAGCTGCTTATACCAGAAGCCCGCAGCCTCGCCTTGGATTCCCGCGCGAGGCGCTGGGTAATCCGAGCGAAGTACCTAGCTACTTAGAAACTCCTGGCTCGACCGAATTGGGGCCCGACCCACGGCCCAACCCAAGAGAGAGCAGCACGTGGTCCCAACTGATTGGCTGTGTCTACATAGACCAACTCGCAATCAGGCCTCTTACAGTAATCTGAGAGCGCCGCGATGCTGATCCGTTGGACACGGGGCAAAGCTCTCAAGCGTGCCGAGTATCCCTTCTGAATGATCTTGATTGTTGCTTCATTGTCTTCTCTAATCCAAACCTTCATGTCTGAACCCTTGATCTTACTAAGAGTATGTTGCAACGGAATGGCCTCAGAGAACAAACCCTCTGCCAGTGAGATTGTCTCAGCCTCAGTGGTGCTCCTGGCGGTGGCGGATTGTCTCTTTGAGGACCATGCAACAGGAAACTTGGTTCCATTCGGACCGCAGATGAACATAAACAGTCCGCTGGTCGACCTAGCTGACCTTGGGCAACCCGCGAGGCCTGCGTTGACGTGTAGTTCGATCCAAGAGGTTTGAAGAGAATCTTTTACGGAAAACCTCATCTCAAAGTCCCAAGTGCTATCAATGTAACACATCAACTTGTAAAGTTGTTTGTCAGAGTTCTTCGACCAACTAGCTACCTGCGAAGCTAGGTTAGTACAAGCAAAAGCTATGTCCGGACGACATAGCCTGCTTAACCACAAGGCTTTCATCACAAGTTGGGCTGCGGCGTGGGTGAGTTCCCCTTTAACCTCCCAGTCCTGCAAAGTCAGAGCACTGTCCGAAACATGGGGAGTTGAAGCTGGCTTCAGAGGTTTCACTCCTTCGACCGCATAGTAGGACTCTGAGATTCCCTTAGCGTAGTCACCCATCTGAGTTCTAAGCTCCGCACCGTCTACCGTCCGTTCCACAACATGGTATCGACCGAGATATCGATCCAAGTCTTCAGGGTCCTCTAAATCGATGTATCGGCCAAGCTCAGCCCAAAGGGCTTTCAGCATGCCTGGGGGGCAACTAGCCAAAATGTCATCAACATAAACGGAAACCATGACACCAAAATTGGGAACAAAGTACGTGGACGGAAAACACTCAAGAACCTCAGCCTTTAATCCTTCGGTTATTTGCTTGTGGAAATGATTGGTCCAAAAGGCAGCCGCTTGCGGATGCCCGTACAAGGCTTTGTCTAAACGAACCACAGGTTTCTTCATGGCGGACCAACCTGGAAGCCGCAACGGCCTTGGCAAGTGGATCCAAGTCTCTGCCTCGGTGGCCAAATTGGCCTGAAGATAAGCCTGATAGGCATCACTTGCTTGGCAAGTGTGTCCGGCCAGCAAGCCATACCAAATGGTGGCGTGTACCGACTGCAGGTTGGATGGCAGCGAGTGTAGCTCCTTAAAGAATGCAGGTGCTCCGGAACCAACATCACGAACAGCATCGCCTCGGAAAACTATTCGAGCTTGTGCTTTTGGTGACCGGGACCCATCTCAGCATTCTTAATACTTGACACGACCATTAGGTCGGCCAGGTGTACCTCGCGACCCGACGCCTTGGAGTCACGAATCAACTCATGCATCTCCCTAACCGAAGAATCGTCCCATACCCCCCGGGCTCTTATGCCTTCAGCTTCCTTCTTGATGGCCTGTTGTGCTTCTTCAGAGCCCTCGGCCTCCTTTCGTGACAACAGCTTGTGGACAGCAGCCATCACGTTGACCATACCGTTGGCCTCCCTTGGCACATGTTCGGTTGGGCCACAAGGAACAGTGGGCATGCCAGGAACACTATCAAAGACAGCTTTGGGGTACAGGTTGGACAGGATAGCCATGGCCATGTTCCTATTGTAGAAACCTGACTTCACCGTTAGGCCTCCTTCTAGCGGGTCATGTTTATGACCTTTACCGTGTATACAACGACGGCGGTCGAGATCCTGAGCAAGTTGTTGGTGCGTAGAGACTATGCGCCATGGTTTAAGTGGATGCTTACCATTGATGACCAATCCAAATCCACACCCGGTAGGAAAGGCACTAAACATCCGAAACCAAGATATCATGTGAGTGATCCGAGGCTCAAGCCAACCGGCACAGTACCTTGGCCACTCAAACGATATACTTCCTCCAGAGAGGAACGCAACCTCAGCCAACCCAGTGAAATGGCTGATGAGCCTCCGCGACTCGTTTCGTTTGGCCTCCAGAGTCTTCCTAAACTTGGGGCCCAGCCTATGCAATGACATGTTCATCCATGGGCTCCAATGAGTGCATGGAAGAGATCCCCATAGGTCAATCGCCTTGTCTTGCGAGGCTTCGAAGCGAGCCCATTCCAACACCTGTCGAAACTGTTCTGGGTCGGTCAAGTCCACAAACTCCTTTGAGAGGCCTGAGTACTCAATACCGAACTGCTTGGCAACCCCAGAAAGCTCACTACCTTCTCTACAGCAGAACTCGACAAAACACCTTGGCTTGGCCCGTTTCCCTTTGGTTTCGGGTTTCGTCTTGTCCGAATCCTGCCTAATCGAATCGGCGTTCGCACATACTGACGCATATGCAACTGACAACTCGTCCTCCATTCCATATTGCGCTTCAATGGCATCCATGAAAACCCCTCCAACGACGTCAGTTCCCCTTTCCAACCTGGAGGGTTCTCCCCTAAAAGGAAAGCTTGGCATTCCATGGGCCTCCTGATCGGCGCGCTCTTCCTCAGTTGGAGCAAAAGCGTCTTCGTCCTCCAAGAGGAGGAGGTTGGGGTCTGAAACATCAGGGTCACCAAAAGGGTCCTCGATGTCCAAAACAACAGAAACCCCAGGATCGTCTTGGCCTTCATCAACCTTTCCCGGAGGGTCCTTAGGTCCACTCTCGGGTTCTTTGAGGCCATACGGAGTTCTCACTGGTTCATCGGCTAGAAGAACATTGAATCTCTCCCTACATTCTTTGGAATGCACGAAGACCCCAGCGATACATCCATCGCATCCTGGCGTTCGACCGTGAATTTCAATCCGCTTGGCGGTGATCGTTCGGTTTCTGGGTTTCAACCCCCCGGGCCCCTTAGACGGTTGGTTAGGGTCACTAGGTGGGTCAGGAAGAGGCACCTCCGGCTCATAGTCCGAATCCTGGGCTGCGACTCGCTCCTCAAAGCTGCCGAGTGGATCCGGCCTGAACTCGATGGGCTTTGGGCCGTCACCTTGGAAATCAATGGCCTTTGGGCCGTCTCCTGCATCCTTCACTGGGCCGTCTCCTGCATCCTTCACGGCCAAGGGAAAGGTCCAGTCACCATTGGGTAACGCAAGATTCCTAGTCTACACAGCCTGAACGACTCCTTCCTTGACTCTCTTCAGAGGGAAAACCCGATGAGTCGCCTTGTATCGCATTCCTGCCACAACCTCAGGTCCGAGATAGATGGCAGGTGAACCATTGGGTTCAAAACCTTGCTTGTCCAAGTCCTTGTACCAGACCAGGGCACCGAAGGGAATGAGGAATCCTTCGTAAGGATACCCCACAGCCGCTTCGTACTTGGATGCAGGTGCCTCAACTTCCGCCTCCTCAGAATTCCGGATTGCCGGGCCGCTCGGCGGGCTGAGAACATTGTAAGCGAACTCAAAATACTTGATGGCATATGGCCAGTACTGTTGATTCAGACCAGACTGCAACATCAGTGTGCTGACACCCTGCCTGAACGTACGGATGGCTGATTCAGCATGCGGATTATGAAGGACACCATTTGGGGGTGCAGGGTCAGCCACAAAACCACAGTTGCTGATGGCTTTGGCGAAC